TCCGGAAGACAGCGATGCAAAATGGCTTCCCCTATGGAGGGTCTTCACTGGACGAGCAGGTATTTCCCCATTGAAACACATTGACCGGTTTTCAATGTTTGTTTGTTTTTGCTTTTTTTTTGCTTGACGCCGATTTCGCTTAACAGTGATTTTCCTGGAATGCATTATCATCGTCAAGCAGGGCACCACTGTATATGTGTACAAAAGTATCCCGCCTAGTGTTGTCTCATGGGTAAGGTCGTCCTGACAATGTTTCTTACATCTCACTCAAAGATACATCCAATCTTGCACATAAAAAGGCTTGGCAGTAATGTGGAATAGTTAGATGGAAGAAATATGATGGGACTGACTTGGGAACAAAGATACCAAAGAAGGAGGGAGAACATGCTTGCTGAGCTCTCATGAGCTTCCTCTCCAACAATTCCAGTTTATTAATGATCTGTGTGAAAGTACTGAGCACAGGCTGAAGGCTTTATTTTCCTTGTCTTCCAATTCCAACTCTATGTGGAAAAGTCTGAATAAAAGCTCTAGGATCTCTCCCCTTAAATAGTTTATTTATCTGGAACTTTAGATCCATTGATACCATGGATCTTGCTCACAAAGGGATACATTCAGTGTTAGTCTCAAATAGAGTAGATTTATTGCAATTTAAAAAAAAAATATTTTTCTGCCCATTAGGGTTCCCAGAGTGATGTACAATAGACACAGTAAAACTATTAAAAACAGATTTAAAGCATGATTTAAAAGCGGATTTGAACTATTATTTAACGGCTAATTAAAAACTAATTTTAAGGAGCAACAGTTTACGGAACAAGGTAGGTTTGGCTTCCTGCCAGGATAGAGCCAGCCTGACTTCCTTTGGAAGTGAACTGTTTAATGGGAGAGCTGTTTGAGAGAAAACCTTAGCTCTTCTACTCTCAGGCTGGTGGGACACACAACAAACTTCTGCTGATGTTCTCAATTCTGGACACAGAGGACTTCAGTGGAGGAAGGAGGGAGCAGTCTTTCAGCCCAGTTAGAATTTTTGTAGATAAAAAGCAATGCTCTAGAAACAAATTGAATGCAGTATGTTTGGGCCAAGCCCACCAATATATGGTCTGTAAAGCACACACACCTTTGACCAAACTCCGGGAAGCAGTGAAAGACAGGAGGGCCTGGCGCGCTCTGTTCCATGGGGTCACAAAGAGCTGGACACGACTTAACAACAAAGTGCACACTGGGCAAATTTAAGCTGTCTTATTTTATTTATTTATTTTATTTATTGATTGATTTGATTTATACCCCGCCTATCTGGACCAATGGACCACTCTAGGCAGCTTCCAATATAAAATTAAACAATAAAATACAACAGATACATGGCTAATACGAAACAACTAGATTAAACTAAAAAATAAGAAAATAATAAGAAGAAAATCAAGAATTGGCTGGAGGGAAGGCCTGAATAAATAAACATGTTTTTAATTGGGTTTTGCACTCACTGTAGCTTCTAGCAGGTGAAAGAACACTGTACACTATGCAAGAGTAATCCAGTGTAGAGTGTTCCAGTAACAATTGCTAATCAGGAGGTAATTAAAGGCATAGATTAGTGTGGCTAAATCTAATGTCCCCTTAAGTAGTGGGTCTTCTCAAATTGGAACTCTCATTGGATTAAGCCTAAAGTGTTCACAAAATTCCAGTATCCACGAGTGGATACTTAATTTATAGTCCATCTATACCCTGTATCAACTGCTGTCATTAGTATGATTGCTTAGAATGAGGCACTATTAACAAGGAGAGTAAGAGAAACTGGAACAATTTCCTGAAAGACATCACGTCATTTTGTAGAGTTGGAAAGCCATAATTTGTTTCCTATTCAGTATGGGATAACAGCTCCAACAGTGATGTTGCCCAATGACAGCAAGTTAGAATGCCAGTCACAATACAGTGGTACCCCGTATACAGTGGTGCCCCTCACTATACGGAATCATCGCTAAACGGGTAGGGGAAATGTATTGGAACGCATTAAACTTCGTTTAATGCGTTCCAATACCTTTGTTACTTACCCGTTCAGCGAGGATTCCAGGTGCCGGCAGCCATTTTCGCGCCTTCGCTCGGCTCCAAAATGGCCGCCGCAATACCCGATCTTCGCAATGCGGGTTTTCCCCATTGCGAAGATCGGGTATGTTTCCGTATAGCGATCCCGAAAAAGGGATCGCTATACGGAAACATCGCTATACGGTGCACTCGTTAAGCGAGGCACCACTGTATACATGCCTCCCTTTTGTACGGATTATTAAAATGAGTTATTCTTACTCTTTGTGTAGGGGTGGGTGGCCCTGGCAAGTTGCTCTGCGGCTGAAATCATCCCATGGTGATGGAAGACTGTTGTGTGGTGCCACTCTCATCAGCAGTTGCTGGGTACTGACTGCAGCACACTGTTTTAAGAGGTATTGTTGCATGATTCATAAATGGTTACATTGCCAGGCTACGGCATTATTACAAAGAAAACAACTAACGGTATTTATTGCACTTTAACCACAAATTTTATTTTCCATAAGTGATTAATCAAAGACATGGATTAATGCCTCAAATTAGTATATCAGTATTTATTATTAATCATGTTAATTATATATTATTCACCATCATTTAATTAATAGCTTTTATACTTAGCAGATTATAATAAAGATCACATTAATATATTAAGGAGATCAGTGCAAGAGAAACAAAAAATAATACATCCTTGTGACATCTCAGGTAACACACTGAAATTGTTTGCAATGAATTTTTTGGTGCTTTTTAACACATATGTGCACATACTGAGGTTTGTATTTCTGTATTCTTTGCATACTGTACTGTCATCTTTTGAAAATGGTAAGAATTGGCTAAGGGACTAGTAATGTCAGCCAAATTATTATACTTCTAGTATATAATCTCATCCATTGAGGAAGTGACGGCAGCATGGGGAGGGGTACGGACCTATTTGGCTTGGAACCTAATCCTTGCCCTTGTCATAATCTTTTATACAGTCCAGGCATTACATCTGCTCTATATAAAAATAATCTCACTCAGAGTAAACTGAAAACATGTGAAATTCCCTGCAGCACTTCTCTTTCAGCTTTCTTCACCCAACTATATTGCATTTGCTGCAAAGTAATGCCTGTACTATTTCTTATTTCCTAGCCTTATACATCTGAAGATATTTCATGATATTATGGGAGCTGAGAGAAAATCATGCAAAATATTAGTTTTGTGAAAGAGACTTTCCTATTCTTTTACTTTATTCCATAGTGCTGCAGCACATTCATAACACATTCAAAATATGCAAACTCTGTAAATCACTTAAAACAATGCATTGATTTTTGGGTAAAATTATTTTAACTTCTCTAAAAGAATTTTCCCTTGAGCAAAAACAGGCTGAACTGATTAGACTGATTGTGAATTATTTAACTGGTCTTCTGTGTTTGTGGCAATTTTTAGAACTAATTTGTCAAGGCTTATTTCCAGAAACAAGCTGTTTCTAGAACAAACACTTGTACAAATCTTGCATAATTTTACCAGGTCATTTTTCTGGAGACTAGGTTTCTAGATGGCGAACGGGGGTTAGTCTGCTGCCCAACACACATGTTGCAGTTCCCCAATGTCCTCGGTGTTGCTGCCCTTGGAATCTGAAGTACTTCAGTAGGTTTAGAAATTGTTAGATGTTTTTTCTCTCAACCCTCCCTCCCCCCAAATCTGTGCTGGTGACATGTTATTTCTATGGGGTCTTTTTAGATATGGCAATAACACTCGGAACTATGTGGTACGTGTTGGGGACTACCACACATTGGTGCCTGAGGAGTATGAGGAAGAAATCGGAGTACAAGAGATTGTGCAGCACAAAGAATATAAGCCTGATAGCAGTGATTATGACATTGCATTAGTAAGGCTGGAAGGACCTGAAGAACAGTGTGCTCGGTTTAGCACTCATGTCTTACCTGCCTGCTTGCCACTCAGGCGTGAGAGGCCACAGAAAACTGCTCCTAACTGTTACATCACTGGTTGGGGTGACACAGGTGTGTAAGCATAGTACATGTTTAGGATGCTCACTAATGGACGTTTTTGGGCAATGTACTTACAATATTCCAAATATGCATTGTGAATTACCACTGATATGTTTCTACTTTGCACAACTTTTGCGGCCCCTATGCTGGGCACTTTTAAGAGTCAACTAAAAACATGGTTGTATGTTCAGGCCTTCCCTCCTGTCAATATTCAATTCTTTATTTTTTTCTTTCATTTATTATTTGTTTTATTATTGTGTGTTATGGACTGTTTGTAAAATCCTTATGTTTTATCGTATACACCTTATTGGAAGCTGCCCAGAGTGGTCGACCAGACCAGATGGGCAGGATATAAGTCAAATAAATAAATAAATAAATAAATCTTCCTTGTAATATGCAAAGTCATTCTTTTCCTTGGTAAAATCAGTGGTCTTTCTCCACAGGGAAAATTCTGCCAAGTCACTCAGTGCCTTCTCCACTATTCTTTCACATGACATATAATTCCTGCTTGGCAGGGCATACAAATTCTCCCAAAAATGATCATTCTCATTAAAAAAAAGTTAAGAGATTAAATTAATTTGGCACACTAGGCAAATAAAGAGTCAATTAGAGCCAAATTGAGAGTATTATATCACGATTACAGGAATATAGAGCCCTGTGTGGTGCAGTCCTTTTTACATGACGGGGGAATGTCCCTTGGTCCTGTTGTAGATAATGCCTTGAATGACTAGTGGGCCTTTGTGGACAGAAATGGAGAAAGACTATTCTGTTTTCTTTCATCTCATGCGTTTTCACTGCTGGCTGTACTTACTGTTCTCTGGGTTGTGGCTTACTCTCCCTTTTCACATTCCTTCTGAAATCAGCCATACTATTATACTACCTGTGTATAGGGTCAGTTCCCTTCCTTTTGTTCCCCAAAATGTGACAACAGAACCATGAACTTCTATAGGACTAAAGGGTCTGCCTAATAGGTCCTTTTTATGCCCACTGTCTTTAAACTCAGGTGTTAATTAAGATTTCACCAATGGGGGTTCACCCCAAAGCCTTCTTGATCTGTTAGTATCTGAGCCAGGTTCCTCAGGCTGGGGTAGATGGTCCCACAAAGGTGTTGAGCCCACTCCCATTCTGTAGGCGTCGTTGGTCAATTGCTGGATACTGGTCTGCCTCCCTTCTTCCTTCCTTCTTCCTTTTTGGGCACACATAAGCAGTCCATTCTACAGGTTCTATTTCTAATTGCACGGCTAATCCTCTTCTCCCTCTCTCTTTCTGCTCGCCGGAGCAGTCATATAGTACTGTTTTCTCCTTTTTTTGAAGAAGTAATTTCATCCCAACTCTCTCTGGTTCATGGATCCTCCATTTCCAGCCATCCCCATCCTAAGGGTATCTTCCTTTGCCTCACTATTCTTCCTTTCCTCCTCCTGTTCTACCTCCATCTCCCAATCTACTGTACTTCACCCTTTTATTCCTCTTTCCACCTCTGTCACCAGATACCTCTCTTCTATTGGTGTCTCTGCCCCGACTGTTGCTTTCCTACTCGTTTTCTCTTTTCCCTCTTTGTCTCCTCTGTTCCCAACTGTGTCATCGCATACAGCCTCGTAACTTCCTTTCCTCCTCCTGTTCTCCCTCCAGCTCCCAATCTACTTCATCCTTTTATTCCTCCTTCCACCTCAGTCACCAGATACCCCTCTTCTATTGGTGTCTCTGCCCTGACTGTTGCTTTCCTACTCGTTTTCTCCTCTTTGTCTCCTCTGTTCCCAACTGTGTCATCGCCGTTAACAGCATACAGCCTCATAACTCTCCATGGTAGGTGTTTGAGGGGAAGGCTCACCCTCCTCCTTTCTGGTGGAGGCTTCCTCCTTCCCACAGATGTGTTACAGTGTTATATATTCAGTCACATCAAATAGTTGGAAATTTCACTTTCAAAGTATTTCCTAACTATTTAAGTGATGACCCAGGTCTTGGGACTTAACAGTTTCATTGCTTTGAAACTATAAAAATGGGAGGGGGGGGAAGAGAAAACTATACAACTAATTTATTTCTTTTTTAATATGAATTTTTCTACTAAAACCATTTATGTGAACCCTGCAAGGTATTGTACAGTTCTTTCATTTTTGCAAGTGACATACCGCTGCATTGATACAATGACTTGTGAAACTACAGCACTTACCTGCCACACTGTTTTATTTTGCAAGCATAATTTTTAATAATTAAACATTGGTTGGAAGAGAGATGAAGGACTTGAGGGAATGTTCCTGCTGTACTGGTACACTGCACCCTGAAGATATCAATGTTACTATAGGAAACAGCTACCACATCTCCTTTGGACCGATAAGCAATCAGACATACCAAAATTGATATTATTTATTTAATTTATATCCCGCCTATCTAGTCGTGGTGGACTACTCTAGGCGGCCAACAACAGAGATAAAATACAATAACATAAAACAGCATAATTACAACAACAATTAAAAATAGGGAAACACTAAAGGAGAGAAGAAAATCAAATCATGATGGTATAAATGGCTTTGCCATGGCCATAAACACATGAAATATAGGCTAAATCATGATGGTATAAATGGAAAGATGGTGTGTAAAGAACTGTTTCTAGTTTGTGGACTGCTTCAAATGTCTCACAGCTCCCCAGGGGCTAAATGGCAGCCATTGAGAATAGCTAATCAATGAGGAACACATCAAATCTAATCATGCTACCTCTAGCACAAACTGTGGGATGAAATGCAGTGTAGCTGCACCCTAAGATGGAGTGAGCACCAGGATAGATGGCTCCAGCTCAGAATGGGAATATTCTGTGAAAGGAAGTTCTTTCAAACCCTAACATGTCATTGCTGTGCATGTTTTAAAATTTGGAAAGCACTGATTTATCCAAGTAGAAGTTATACTGTATTATATCAAATATAGCTGCTGTCAGTATAGCATATACCCACAAATTACTAAATGATGCATGTCTGTGTCAATATTGCTTGTAAGATTTTCCAGTTCAGAATGTTAACACCAATATTTTCTTCCATCAAGGAAGGGCCTACTCAAGAACATTGCAACAAGCTGCCATCCCTCTACTTCCTAAGAGAATCTGTGAAGAACGTTATCGGACAAGGTTCACAGGAAGGATGCTGTGTGCTGGCAGCCTACAAGACCAGAAACGTGTGGACAGCTGCCAGGGAGACAGTGGTGGACCACTGATGTGTGAACGCCCAGGAGAAAGTTGGGCTGTGTATGGAGTGACCTCCTGGGGTTACGGGTGTGGAGTCAAAGACTCTCCAGGTGTCTATACCAAAGTTTCTTCTTTTGTACCTTGGATAAGAAGCATAACTAAGTTATGACCATGTCTGACTCCTGTTCAGTAACAACTGGGACACACAGTGGACAAAACACCCCCTTTTTTGCATGTGCTACTTTCTGCGTATTATGGCATTTTCAGCTAAAATGTTGATGGAATGTTGGGTATCACTCATACATTTAAACAAGAGGCAGGGAAGTTAGTATTTCTCTGTTGTTCCCCATGGATGAAATCCTTAACAGCATAAACAGCTGCACAAATCAGTTTTATAGCTTTGTTGCTTGAAGACACTAATCTCATCAGCCTAAAACTCAGAGCACGCAGGCTCCACAAAGGCTCCCCTCATTGGTGGAACAAGTCTGTCTTTTGTGCAACAGAACTTACAGACACGTCACATGCACTAGGCTGTATTAGGTTTCACAATCAGATTTTTTTACAGTGTAAGGACTCAAGTGTTTTACTGCGTAAGACAAAGTCCTCTGGATTCTGCTCAATTAGGTTAGATTTTTAAGAATTCATCCTCTAAGAATCATTTACCTTCTGTACTAAAGTCATGAGTATCCATTCCTTTTTTCAAAATGAAGGTGGCAAAAGTAGGGATATGTCCTTAGCAGATATAACATTGAGAAAATGTTCACTGACATGTCTTTCTTTTCTAAGAACTTCATCATGACAGGACCTAAAGGGCTTAACTTAGTGAAGTAGCCTGATTCTTGCCTCTTATTCTTGCTCTGCACACATACATATTATGTTCAGGCTATATAAAATTATGTACCTTAACAAATGTCACTTGTGCTAGTTCCTTGAAAGTGTAATATAACTGCACATTATTTATGACATGTATGTAGGAGCATCTGTAGAACCACTGAAAGTTTTAGCTCCTGTTCCAACTTAATTTGAGGAAGTATTTTAAAGATACAGCAATAGCTATGCTAGAAAGTTAAGATGTGGATGTTCTGTATCATTTTATGTAAATGTTAAATCTGCAACCACTAGAAACAATGTCTACGCTTGTAAGCCATTGACAGATGTGAATTTATATCAGTTATCAGCGTTTCAACAAGTATGACTTTACTTTGTGCTGTAATAGTTACCTAACATCTCACAATTATACAGAGGCCCTTGGAATAATATTTGGCCCCTTTTTGTTAAGACCAAATTAGCATGAAGGGCAATGACAAAACTTTAAACCTGTAAGTCGTGCTAGATAATTCTGTACTTTCAAGCTTATGTTAAGCTTTGGAGGACTACATTTTTAACAAAGCACTCAAACCAAAATCTACATAGCTCAACAGATTTACTGCTGTTTCTTAGGAAGAATGGGCACAGCTGTGGGAGTGGGGAAGAAAAAGACTCTTCAAAAAGCATATATTGGAATAATGAAAATTAATATCCAGTGTAGCTTTTTAAAATATCTAACAGTTGAATTCCGTTTCAGCTTAAAACTGTTGCAGAGTTCATTTGATATCAGACTGTATTACTATGAATGGAAGTTTAGCAGTATACTCAAAAGCTTTCTATTTGTAAACCCAAGTCTCATGTAGCTTTATATTTCGGTCAACAAATCCATTTATTATTGATAATAAAAGCTGCCCTTTATCCGAAACCTTATTCTTGTCATATGCTCCACTAAAAGAATGACTCGACAGCAATCTGCCATGTGACAGCTATTCTTACTCTTAGGTCACTATAAACATTGTATGGAATTTTAGTAAATCCTAAATCAGATCTTCAGCTGCAAAGCTTCACTGCTGTTAGAGTGATGACAGCTATACTGAAGAGCTCTATACAACTGTAATCATTCTTTTTCTGTTTCAAATTGTTCATGGAAAATTTCCTCTTTACTTAAGCCTGAAATCTTTTAGCTTGCATTTTCTGCTTTGCCAAGATACAAATACTTTTAAATGATTCAAGTGCATCCTCCAGTGTTTTCTCTTGTTATCAGTGTTAATTGTCACAACAGAACTTCATTTCAAGTGAACTTAAAATCAAGAACCCTTCCATTAGGGTTGAAAATTCATTCTATTTAATTCTAAAAACAATAGGGAGTTGCATGGGCCTCCTGCACCTAGAACTGCCCATCGTAGTATTCACATTTGCCCCTTAATTATCTCTTGCTGTTTGATTCTCTTGCTTACACATTTCTTTTTCAATTCATATATATAAACTTACATCTCAACTCTGATGTCAGTGTAAAGGCAGAGGAATTAGGAGCAAACTGGAAGGTTCACCAGTTTTCTAAAAACTGATATAGCAATACTACCCTCTAGTGGGCACTTAAATATAGTTTCATACATCACCTGTAAGTCATCCTCACTCTACTTTCACATAAGGATTCCATGCTTCCTCGACAGGTTTTGTTCTTATTTGTCCTTGTCCTCTTCTATGCTTGTTTCCCCATTTTGAATTTTAGACTGCAAAATCTTGGGGGGGAAATTGGTCCCTGCCTTGCACAGATGAACTCTACAATAATTATCCACTTTGCAAAGCACCACACAACACATGGCAACTCCTAAAAGCTTTAAAAAGGTGTTAAATCACAAAAAGCAAAAAAAGAGGGCTGGTAGTATAAATCCCCATCACTCAAGTAATTATGTATTTTTTCCCTATGAACTCTTTCCATGCAGCTCCAAATTGAACTGGGATAACCAAATGAATACTCACACAAATAAAAAATTGTTTCAATATTTTAAAGGCACAGCATGAGTCACAATGTACATAGTCAGAAATAAGGGAGATGCATGCTTTCACTATGTTAAAGAATGCATACTCTCATCAGCCACAACGATTAAAACCACCTGCCTAATATCATGTAGGTTCCCTGCCCCGTGCTGACAAAACAGCTCTTGTGTGCCAAGGCATGGACTCTACAAGACCTCTGAACATATTCTGTGGTATCTGCCACCAAGACATTAGCAATCAGTCCTTTAAATTCTGCAAACTGCGAAGTGGGACTTCTATGAACTGGATATGGTGTTCCAGCGCATCCCCCTAGACCAATGATGGTGAACCTTTTTTAGCCCAAGTGCCCAAACTGCAACACAAAACCAACTTATTTATTTCAAAGTGCCAATACTCCCCTGGACTGCAAGGAGAACAAACCTATCAATTCTAAAGGAAATCAACCCTGAGTGCTCACTGGAAGGACAGATCCTGAAGCTGAGGCTCCAAGACTTTGGCCATCTCATGAGAAGAGAAGACTCCTTGGAAAAGACCTTGATGCTGGGAAAGTGTGAAGAGAAGGGGATGACAGAAGACTAGATTGTTTATTTTATTTAATATCCCACCCATCTGGTCTGGTCGATCACTCTGTTGGACAATATCATCGAATCTACAAGATGAATTTGACACAACTCCAGGAGGCAGTGGAAGATAAGAGGGCCTGGCGTGCTCTGGTCCATGGGGTCACGAAGAGTCAGACACAACGACTGAGGTTTTAGTTTAGAAACAACTCCTATAGTTGTCCAAACTAATCAAGCTTTTATCTTAAAAGAAACACAGTAACAGAGCTTTCAATGATACTTTTTTATTGAAAAAAACCAACTCTAGTAAATGGAAAAAAAATTATTAAAGTAATACATTGTACACATAGCCTGAAGTCAGGTAATTTATGTAAACTTTTAAAATAATTATGTCAATGTAAGGGATAAGGGATACTCAACTCATAATATGACTATATACCACACTGAAACTGTATGGGGCAAGCATTACTAGCAACTGAAATGACTTTTTCTGGTCTTACGTCTTGTGACAAAAAGCCTCCATCATACCATTGTAGATATCTATCCCTTATGTTGTTCTAGGCAAAGACAAGTTTTACCAGCTCTTCTCTCATGATGAGAGCCAATGCAGCCAACAGCATAATGCACAATTACTGCTAGCCTTGAATGACTACTTATATCTGTGCTTTCATCCAAGCTGCTGACTAACATCACTTGCCATATGCAGGACTCTATCATTAACAGTATTTCTGCTAAGTGGCATCTCAGAGATGTGTTGCATAACTTTATCCTTGTTTGGGAAATCATGAAAAAAGGAATTACTCCCAGCCAACATGGCTGTTTTGATAAAATCCCCATCGGAGAGGGGCTTACCATGTTTTGCTATGCACAGTGAAATTTGAAATCTGTCAGATGATTTGTTTTAGAAAGAGATTCGCAAAAACTAAGATGCTGGGAGCGTTATTTCCTCAGTTTCCCTTTAAGAAACTCCTTTCAGCTTCACCAAGTTAGGCAACACTTTTATGGTTGGTTTCAAAGTGACTTATCTCCCACTATCTGCTTTCAGTTTTGTTTTGCTTTATTCATTTTTGTGTTTAAGATTTGGAATCTACAAAAACACAAAACGTACGTGCATGTGACATATACACACACACACATCCATCTTTTTATATATAAAGATGGATGAAGCACCAATACAGATCTATCCCTACTAAAATATTGTCACATTTACACATTTTGTCTGGTTCTTTGATTCCTTTTTGGAAAAAGTCAAGTGCGAAATGCTACACTGAATTAAATGCACCCTATTTATAAAGTTTATTAAGTACACTGAAATCCTGGACTTGCTTCCTCCAAAGTAAGCCACTTTCAGAAAAGCAGCTATATATAGGAGTGCAAACTTTTAAAGTGTATACCCATATTTTATACACTACATAAGGTGTATACACACATTTCACTTATTTGAAATGTAGTATTGGAAAATAATTTTACAGATATGACTTGTCAGAAAGATAAGTAAAGCAAATTAAGTGTGGATTCTCACTAGCTAAAATAACAAAACAAAGGGTATTGTACTACAGTAGCATCATGAGAAGACAAGCTCACTGGAAAAGGCAGCAATGCAGAAAAAAGTGGAATGCAGTAGGAAAAGAGGAAGAATGCACACGAGATGGAGTGACTCAATAAAGAAAGCCAGTCTTTTTTTGTATAACCTTTTGCTTGGTGTGGCAGTCAAAATAGGACCAGGAGCAGAGACTGGAATTCAGATATGATGAATAAACTGCGATACTCTTGCCTGCTTTTGCAGATGAGAAAGAAACACAACTGCTACACATTTCAGACATCTAGACACAGCTGTCAGTTGTCTTACTAGGTGTCTGCTATTAATTTGACTCTGCTAAATATTCCAGTTCTGCTCAGTTCAATTTAGTCTAAACAGAATCTTGAAATACTTGCTGAGCTCAGCAGAAACTGCAGAGCTCAATGCAGTAGAGATTGATTTTGGAAGGTTTCTTTTTTCATGGTTTTATGAGTCAGCCTCTGTTTCTCTCTCCCACCCACACACCCTAAAATATGTACAATCAGTTGCTTCAGTTCAGTAGGTCCCCATTTCCTAATTACATGTAAACAAACATGATGAATCCACCCTTTCGTCTACACCTCCTGCTATACAAACCAATCCACCCGTCCCTCTCTTGCACCTTCCTTCCGCCCTCACTGGAACCTTCCTTCCGGTTTGCAGTCATGTCCAGCAGAAGTAGTAATTCACAAGCTGGATTGACTGCTGCCAACTCCTTTACAGCTATAAACGGTAAAGCAGTGGTATCTGCAATCTGCCAAAAGAACCGATTCACAAGTGCCACAGCCAGGGAAGGTAGCAGGGGTAAGTGGCTTAAGATTGTGCAATTTCTGAGGTTTGGCTGGGGGAGGGGGGGTAGTAATCCGGCAACTTGTGCCTCGTGTCTCTGTGTGCTAGGTATGGCACATATATCATTGGTTCGCCATCATTGCCCTAGATGGTCAACTGGATTGAGATCTGGGGAATTTGGAGGCCAAGGCAACACCTTGAACTCTCTGTTTATGGTAGGGTGCATTATCTGCTGAAAGAGGCCATTGGCATCAAGGACCACCATCATCATGAAGGGGTGTATGTCATCTATAACAAACTCTAGGCAGATGGTATGTGTCAAATACCACATGAATGCCAGGACCCAAGGTTTCCCAGCAGACTATAGCTCCCAGAATGTAACACTGCTGCCGCTGGCCTGCCTTCTTCCCATAGTGCACCCTACTGCCATCTCTTCCCTAGATAAATGATACATATGCACCTGACCATACACCTGATCTAAAAGGTGTTTCCTCAGATCAGGCAACCTTCTCCCATTGCTCCATGGTCCATTTTTGACGCTCAATCCCCACTGCAGGCGCTTTCAGTGGTGGGCAGGGGTCTTCATGGGCACCCAGACCCGTCTGCAGTTATGCAGCCCATTATGCAGCAAACTGCTGTGCACTATGAATCCTCACACTTTTCTATCATTGTCAGCATTATGTTTTCCAGCAACTTAAGCTACATTAACTCTTCTATGTGATTAAACCAGATCAGCTAGCCTTCACTCACCATTTGCATCAATAAGCTTTGGGCACCCACAAACCTGATGCCAGTTCACTGGATGTCCTTCCTTGCACCATTTTTGATAGATACTAACCACTGCACACTGGGGAACACCCCATAAGACTTGCTGTTTGGGAAATGCTCTAACCCAGTCTAGCCATCACTATTTGGCCCTTTTTAAGGTCACTCAGATCTTCTCGCCCACATTTCCTGCTTCAAACACATAAAATTCAAGAAATGACTGTTCACTTATTGCCTAATATATCCACTCCTTGACAGGTGCCATTATGATGATATATTCAGTGTTACTTCACTTCACCTGTCAGTAGTTTTAATGTATTTCAGAAGACTGTTGTCAACTGCCAATCTTTGAACCCAAAACTGCCAAGCGTATCAACCCTGCAAAAAATAGAAAAGAAAAAGATCATCAGATTTTATAATCCCAAAATTTGTAATCAACCAGTATTCAATTCCATGCATCAAACCAAACCCTTCTGCATAAACCTAAGGCACTGATGAAAAGAGCTACGGTAGTTCCATATTTAATCTTGATATGATTCCAATAACTACCTTTAAAGGAACATTCATATGCATGTCACTTACTCAAAACACCTCAAGCCTTTTTGATTCAGCTCAAAACTTAATAAAGGGACCACCTTCACCATATGTGTCTGTTATAAGGAGTTTATCGGCCTTTGGTACAAAGTCATTCAGAAATCGCCAAAAGTATCACTCAAAATGCTTCGTTTGGTTGAAAACTGACTCCTAGAACTGGTGGATGCCAAGAAGAGATATGCAAACGCCACCCAAGAAACCGCCTGAATCTGCAATCTCTCCACCATCTTAAGAGACTGATGCATGGCGAGCCTTTAAGCCATGTTCGTGTCACTTCGTAAAGAGTACCCATCGCCCGGTCACTCCGCCAAGTGCAACCTGTCCCTTGCCCAAGTCAGAGTCTCGCACCAACTGACCACGGAGGAGCTATGCCAAGAGGCAAGGGGGGCCGTTTGCTCTACCATGAATAGGAAGGGAGGCTGCCACGCTGGCAGGTCCCATGGAAGCATGGATTCAGCCCCAGGACCCCACGAGTCAAGGCCACCATCTCGCAGCAGAGGAGGAAGGTGAGTTCCTGTTGTTCGCTTGTGACTCGCCCCCTCACGGCTGGTGCCGCCGAGACCCAGCGCAGGGACTCGAGCCGCCGTCGCCGCCGCCATCCCGCCTCCTCCGCCCCACACGCGCAAATTTAACGGCTTTCTCCTCCTCCTCCTCGCAGCCCCTCGTTCGGCGCCGCTTCCACCAGAACAGCGCTTTCCTCACCTTAAAATGAAGGCTCACCGTTACGCTGGGAAGGACTTGTTCACAGCCCTCTCCTTCTCGTTATCTTCACCTCATAATCGGAAACTGGAAACGAGGCGCATGCGCGGGAGCTGCATTTCGAAATGGAGAGGCCTCGTAAGGCCTCTCATGGACCCTGAAACTTCCGCACAAAACTTACAACTCGCTACTAAAACCTGTACCAGGCCCCGTTGAGAACAATGGGCTATGACCCACACCCCTAAAGGCCCTGTGTTTCGTGCCCTTTTCCCCCCACCTCACCTCGAACACCACACACCCACCCGTCCGCCCGCCGAGAAAAGAAAGAAACCGCTTCCTCCCGAGCTTTTTATACCGGGGGAAATCGCCTCGCCCCCTCCCCTCTTGGCCCGCGCAGAGGAAGACGGGAGCTGCGTCTGTTCTGCGCGTGCGCTCTAGGGTTTCGTTTGGAAACGCGCGATGTTGTGGTTTTCGCGGAGGTTGCGTTGCGCCCTCTTTTTGCTGGCCACGTTGAACAGTCTTCCAGAATTGGTTAGCCCCAGTAAAAGTGTTTCGTCTTCATTCAGCTGTTTTTTTTAAAAAAATTGGCTCTTAAAAATGTTGCAGAACTTCAGGTGGTCGACTGACGTTTGTCTCTGTTGTTTCTCAGTAGCGCCATTTTTGACCACCTAGGAGTCATCACGAAATATTCAGTGTGATATAGTAGATAGAGCAGTGGTTCCCAGCCTTAGGTTCCCAGATTTTCTGGGGCTACAACCCCCAGTAAACTTTCACCTCTAACTGTGCTGGCCAGGATTTCTGGGAGTTGTAGTCCAAGAACATCTGGGGACCCAAGGCTGGGAACCACTGCAATAATGTGATGGACTAGGATTTAGGAGCCAGGGGCTTGAATCCTAGCCCAGCCATGAAAACATACTGAGGCTGTAGAACTGGTAAAGTTACTTCTTAAATATCTCACTTAGCTTGAAAGCCCTATTAGAGCTGCTGTAAATTGGCTTCACTTGACAGCATGTAGCAGGAGTTACCATATTTCAGCATCTGAGTTTGGTATTAGAATGTGCAAGTACTGTAGGACCTGGTGATGTTTCTGTTCAGAGTGCTAATCCACCAACTGTATCTCTCTTGGGAGACTCCAATCCCAGCCAACAGCTTCATCTGTGCTTGGAGAAGGGGATTTTGATCCATGAAAGCTCCTGCTGAAACAAATGTGTTAGTCTTTAAGATACCACAATGTTTTGTCCTCTTCCTCCATTCTTCCTGCCTTTATTTTGCCAGCATCCTCATCTTGATTCCATAAGCAAGCAAGCCTTACTGGGCTTCTTGCCCCAATCACAGAGACTGGCAAAATCATTTTTGGTTTCCAGCTTCCAAAATACAGTACTGCATGCAATGTGAGCATCCTGGAATTGCCAATCCAAAAATGTAACTTTTTTAAATGTATCGATCTGTATATACTTAACTTTCTAATGTTGGGGTGAGGAGGAGGGGATGGAAATTACCAAAACCAAGAGATAGTTGAAGACTTTTGTATGTACAGTAATTGTCCAGTGAACCAAATGTTGTAAGTCCAAGACTATACCACTAAAATATCAGAAGCAAGCCTAAGCTTTAGAGCAGGGGTTTTAAACTCAATTTACCTGGGGGCCGCTAGAGGCAGAGTCTGGGTGATGCTGGGCCACATCAGATTTTCCGCCAAGCGGAGCAAGAGCCCAAGGAAGCCGCCCAGGAGTTTCCTTAGCCAACAGACAGGTGGGCTGGCTGGCAGGCTGCAGTTCTGGATGGAGGGTGCAAGAGGTGCTGTCTTGGGAGAGAGCCGGCGAGTGAGGCAAGGCTTTTTTTTACTCTTGACAGCAGAGGATGTGTGGGCGCTTTGGGGGGGCAGGCAAGGTGAGGGCCACAAACTATCATCTGGGGGGCCGCAAATTGCCCCCGAGCCGCATGTTTGAGACCCCTGCTTTAGAGCCTTGCAGGACTCTAGTCAAGGCAGTAAGAGGGATGTGTGTGCAGAAGCAACTAAAAGGCCGTTTAGGGCAGTTTCTGAAATGAAGACTGCAACCTTGTACAGTCAGCCAGGGGTAATAGGTTTCAGGCTTTACTTCAGGCAATTCAGATTTAATTGTTCTTTCCAATTTTGGTGGACAAAGCTTCCAGTCACCGAGCACCCCACTGCCTTATATGAAATATTTATTTATAAGGCAATACTGGGGTGCTGCATGATTGTGATGTAGTGGATAAAAGTGGCAGCCAATGATTGCAGCTTCACTAACGTCCCAGAGGAATCCAGCCTGGGTAGCTTTGGAATGGTTGGGCTTGAATAGAACAATCTAAGCAAGCCATGTCTGATTACTGGCAAATTAATCACTTGCTGTGCTTGGCAGAGGGGAGGGGAAATGAAAAAAAAAAGTTGACAAATCCAGCAAGGCAAAAAAAGAGAAGAGATTTTAATTTATTTTTATTAACTGATGTATTGCATCAGTGATAGTCTTGAACAGAATCCTGCCCCCACTTCCCTTGCCATCTGCCAAACAGTGGAAGTGATTAATTTGCTAATATCCAGAAGTGGCTCGCTTATTAACTGGAATGATCTAGGTGATTACACATCAAGAAAACATGTTTATTTGGACTGATCTTTAATTGTTCCAAGTAAACAGTAGTCTCCAACCCTAGACCAAACTGTGATGGATTGCTCCACATTAGGGGATGGTTTGGAATGCTCTAACAAAACATTGTGTACTTGACATTTTAAGATGATTCCTGCAAGAGACTACTAAGCATGATGAACACCCTTGTAATTTACATGGGACTCAGAAGACTTTGGTTCAGATACCTGCTCAGGAGTGGGAACTCACCAATGGAGATGCTGGCACTTTTGAAGCTACACCTTAAATATTTCACTTATTCTGAAAACCAAATTGGAGGTCACTAGAAGCCAGATGTGACTTGATGACACATAACATGCACAAATGCAACTAAGGGAAAATAGGCTATGTGTGATATGTGAAAACGTTATAAATGCCCATAGAATTGTATTAAACACTTGCCAGTACCAGATTTGTCTTTATGATCATATATAAATTTATTCTGTGATAAATCTACTGTGCTCCAAAATTTAAAAAAATGTTGATAGCAAACACCAGTGTAAAGATCAATATGGCCACTAGGTGGTACTTTTGTTTAATAGATTTCACCAAATATAGGCTGAAGACTATACATTTTAATTCAGTGAAGAAGTTGCTTTGACATTGGAAGTATATATAAGCATATTCCAAATATAGCCCATAGGAATAGTGCAATTTGCAATGCCTTTAATCACTACATATTGATAACTTTAATGTCCTGCATTTTACAGTTCACAACAGATTTCTTTGGAGATGTTTAAATGGTTGATGTATAAAAGCAAAAATATAGACTTATCAATTGTGGCAACATTTTTTTTTAAAAAAAATAAGAGAACAATGGTTATAAACAAAAGTCCAAGAGCAAAAGAGATTGTTTCAGTTTGTGCTTTTATTCCCATTGGTATGTAAACACTGATACATTTTAAAAGGCTGTGGATCATATTTGTAGTCTACCAATTGCTTCAGTCCCACTGTTGTCTCAAAGACTGCTTAAATAAAAGTAAATATAAATTTATTTGCAGAATACATCATGTGGAAGGCTGGACTGGATGAATCCCAAGCCGGAATTAAGATTGCCGGAAGAAATATCAACAACCTCAGATATGCAGATGATACCACTCTGATGGCAGAAAGTGAGGAGGAATTAAAGAACCTAGTAATGAGAGTGAAAGAGGAGAGTGCAAAAAACAGTCTGAAACTCAACATCAAAAAAACTAAGATCATGGCCACTGGTCCCATCACCTCCTGGGAAATAGAAGGGGAAGATATGGAGGCAGTGACAGATTTTATTTTCCTGGGCTCCATGATCACTGCAGATGGAGACAGTAGCCACGAAATTAAAAGACGCCTGCTTCTTGGGAGGAAAGTGATGACAAATCTTGACAGCATCTTAAAAAGCAGAGACATCACCTTGCCAACAAAAGTCCGAATAGTCAAAGCTATGGTTTTTCCTGTAGTGATGTATGGAAATGAGAGCTGGACCATAAAGAAAGCAGACTGCCAAAGAATTGATGCATTTGAATTGTGGTGCTAGAGGAGGCTCTTGAGAATCCCCTGGACTGTAAGGAGAACAAACCTATCAGTTCTAAAGGAAATCAACCCTGAGTGCTCACTGGAAGGACAGATCCTGAAGCTGAGGCTCCAGTACTTTGGCCATCTCATGAGAAGAAAAGACTCCTTGGAAAAAAACTTGATGTTAGGAAAGTGTGACGGCAAGAGGAGAAGGGGACGACCGAGGATGAGATGGCTGGACAGTGTCTGCGAAGCAACCAACATGAATTTGACACAACTCCGGGAGGTAGTGGAAGATAGGCGGGCCTGCCGTGCTCTGGTCTATGGGGTCACGAAGAGGCGAAAACGACTAAACGAAACGAAACGAAATAAATTTATTTATTGCTGTTGTGTAAGCTAGGTTAATCATAGTAAGGCTTTAAATTCTGTTATAAAAATCCTGAACATGTCTTTCATAATTTCCACTAGGGTTTTTTTTGTTTTGTTCTTATGAGGTTTTCTTGTTGTTATGCCTACTGTTGGTGCCAATAGAGACACCACCCATTTGGGTTCTATGGATGAGGATGGGAGATTTAGGAAAGCAAGAAGCTATGGCAAGATTTAAACCTCCCATACTCATCCATGGTATGGGTCTCAAGCCACATTAGTGCCCTGTACAGTTATTTGTAAGTAAGAGTCTGAACCAGATATGATGTACTGTTGTGCCATGTAATTTAGCTTTGAGTAACGGATACAAAAATTTACTACTAATGCAGTCATTCCCCAGTACCAGTCATGTATCTGACAGACTTGCAGTACAAATGATTCTTCATGTGACTGAATACTTAATCACACCAGTTAATTACTGCTTCTGTAATCTTGTAATAAGGCTGTTAAGTCTCTAATAGCTAGAACTCCTAACTCTCGAAAAGGCTAAGGATGAAGCATCACATATGATCTAAGATTCCCTCTCGCCTATTTCCTGACGTTTAACTCTTTTTGCAGGTGTTTTTCTGAACCTTAGGCCACTGACACTCCACCCTTGGCTTCCAAGTTCCAGGACTAATATAGGGTTGCCAATCATATTATTATCTGGAGGTAGTACTTATTTTTGTAAACGCTCTAGGTGCCAAACGAAGACACAGTTAATATTTTGTTTTGCACTTCTTCATCACCCCTTTGTGTGCTGTCACAAAGTAAGCTGAGGAAGAAGAGAGTGAATGAAGGGAACAGTGAAGAAATGGCACACAATGGGCAAAATCCTGCTGCATAAAGTTACATCATGCAAACCAGGTCCAGTGCTGGTAATATTTAATTTACATTTATTGAAAGCTTCTTATCCCTCTTTCAGTTTCTGCAGATCCCTGTGGCTCCCTTTTGCTTGGGGGGAACCTTGGGATAGAAGAGTAAAAAAAAAATAAATCTCGGGATTGCTAGTGACAAAGTAGGAACCACTGGCGGTGGGTGATTTGTGACTGATAAAGTCTCCAGCACCCTCACCCCCCCCCCGAATCAAGCTAGATGCTGTGGCTGAAATCCTGTTGCTTACATTGTAAGTCATGAGTAGGCCCATTTGAATCAATGGAACTTACAGAGGAGTTGGCACACCAAATCCCCACAGATAATAGGTCTACTTGAGTGTAGCTTGCTACATTAAGCAGCAGGATTCCAGGCACTACTCTGTTTCCCCGAAAATAAGACCAAACCTGAAAATAAGACCTAATACGATTTTATAGATGCTCATAATATAAGCCCTACCCCAAAATAAGCCCGTTAAGTGAAACTCCGCCCTCCACCATTGCAGAAACCAGAAGATGACATGATTGTATTTGAATAAATGTAGATTGTTGTACATGAAAAAAAACCCTGAAAATAAGCCCTAATGCATTTTTGCAGCAAAACTTAATACAAGATCCTGTCATACTTTCAGGGAAACATGTATTGGTTGTAAAGAACAAGGATAATGTGTGGATGAGGTTCTGTTCCATGCAAGTTTGTCCTCATGACTGAAAGCTGCAAGAGTCTAGGCAAGAATCCAAGTACTACAGTGAAGTTAATTGGACTTTATAGCTTCATAATCTAATAGATTTTTGGTAGCCACTTTCTCTGGTTTTCTTCAATGGAGCAATACATCAGGTGAGTAATAGACAGGAATAACTATGATAGTTGCAGCAAAAATAAAGGTAGTTGATCAGAGCATTTAAAATAACTACAATAGTATGACAATACCAGTATGAGTTTCTTTAAAAAATCAGTTAAAAACCAGGTCATTGTGGCTTTGGAATAGGCCTTGTGCTGGCACACCTCTGAGATCTGTTGGCAGAAAGATCTACTGGCCCAACTGTTGTGTTGGCACAAGAAGAGCCAAAATAGGAAGGCAGATGGGCTGGGGTGAGGGAGGAGGTGAATTAAGTTCCAAAAAGGCAAGAGACACAGCTATTATGCCAGCATAAAGTTAGGCTATGTAGTCCAAATGTAGTCCAAGTTGAGAGGAATCCAAATGTTTTTCAATATCTTGAGGGACTGAGATGGATTCAGCATAGCTTCAGATGGCTCAGTGTCAACTCAATTGGCCCTCTGCCATCTTGGTTTGTCTGGATTGTGCATCTAAAAGATTTATTAGTGGGCACACAAGCTTATTAAATCCAAAAATAGTCATGCTTAGAACAGACCCAGTGACATTAATGGGCCTTAAGTCTCATGACCAAATTCAATCTGCCGATATCAGTGGATCTGCTATGTGTGATGAAATCTGGAGCCAATCCTTTAGTCTTTATTTGAAACCGTCTGCTCTTACTGGCTGCTTCAATATCTAAGCTGCCCTTGTTTTTATATATATATAAACAAGGGCAGCTTAGATATTGAAGCAGCCAGTGAGAGCAGACGGTTTCAAATATATATATATATATTAGAAAGAACACCTCAGTGTCACAGCATCTTAACAATCTTGGGAACAGTGTCCCTGTGCTGCAAACTTTCCATCTCCAGAGAGCAGCATACATAATAGAGTGGAGTACATCATGCATGTAATTCTATGAGAAGTTTCTGGGGGATTCAGCAGCAATCATGAATCTGTTTTCAATTTCTAATACTTACCTGAGGCCCTTTATCTGGAGAGATGCTAGCATGACTTTTACAACAGAGCAACAGGGCCTTCTCTGCATGATGCCATCTGAGCAGTTCCTACTTAGACAAACCCAAGCTGTTCTACCTCTCACTTCTAAAATTGTAAATGCCGTTCCTTCTCTCTTTTGGCATATGGTTATTTAAAGTAGTTTTATAGGCTTTGCTTTTGCTCTGCTTTATTATAACAGAATGAACGTGTAACTACAGTATAGCACAGCTGAGAAATTCTGACACTAAAGATAAAAAAAGTGTCAAGGCTGTAAAACAAGCAGCCACACACAGAATAATATTAACCATATGGAAACAGCAAGCAGCATTTAAAAATGAATAAATAAATAAAAATAAAAACTTATGTCAGGAAGCTCTGTTTCTTCTAGAGTATGTTATATCTTGGTGTCAGGATTCCATAAATGCTGGAGAAAGAGTAAGTGAATTTGCATGAGAATAAAGTCACTACCAAGTGGTGAGGTTGTTTTCTTATCAGAGTTTATTGTTGCACAGCAGAAATCATGCCACTATCAGAATAATGTCTAGTTTCATATTTTATTTTAAAAAATTGAGAAAAACATTTCCAGCAATTTTCATTCAATGTGAATGAGAAGAATATTACATCTATAAACACTGAAATAGCTATTTTATTCTTCCTGAGGAAGCTTCACATTTATCAGCAATAATAAAGTATAATCTGTACAATATATTCTGAAGATTGGTTCTATTCTCCATTTTCACATGTATAGAGCTGGGCAAATACTTCAGCAAAACCATGTGTATTTGCTTAGATTGACTGACACCCATTGTGGGGTTTTCCATATGTTTATGTCCCTTTAACACTTCCTTTCTGCTAATAATCACACTCAGTTTTTTATTTCAGATCGGCAGCTCTCAACATCTCCCATGAGTTTTCATAATAAAAATGTTAAACTAAAAATGTAAAAGTGTATGCTCATATTTGTTCTGGCATTTAAATAACTTTGTGTGCTGTCAAATCACTTTGGAGTTTTAGTGACCTTATTTAAATGTCTAACCAGTGTTAAATGACAGGCTTTGCAATGCTATATATATGCCTTTAAGTCTCGTTATGTTTATTGAAACTTAGGGCTTGACTGCACAGGTCTACTGAAGCAGGCCATAGCAGCCTAATTAGGGTTGCTTAAGGTTGCATTCACATGGCATGTACACCTCAGACAACCCTAGTTGGCCCACCTCCCTTAAGAAAAGAAGAACAACAAAATCCCACTCCTTGCCCCCCCCTCCTCCTGGGAAGCTTTCAATATTTTAATGTTAAAAGATATAGTGCATCAGCATTTTAAATCCAATGGCCTTTCTACTTAACTGATTAAAATCAGAGGGAGTTTAATATGTTGTTACCAATAAACCTCATTAGTTTCAGTGGATCCATTCTGCGTAGGACTAATATTGGATTAAATCCTAAATTTGAAAAACATTAAAGAAATCTCCTATAGTACTGCACAGTATGGTAAAGGATAAACTGACAGTTCTGCAGTGACTCCATCACAGATGAAGAAGAAACTGCATACATATCCAGGAACAATTTTACATTTGCTTATAATGTAACAATGGCAGAGATACAACAGAAGCTCTCCTTCTATGTCTGTACTGATTAAAGGCCTAATTTTTGCAAGGCAATAAATGATGGTAGGTAATGAAAATATCACAAATGGGACCAATGACTGAAGAAAGTTCATCATTCATCTAGTGCTTCGTAAACTGTGAGCACAGCCCAATGAAAAGAAAATCAGTCCATCTCTAGGAACATTTAGGAGTCTATGCTGTTTTTAAAAAATCGATAATGTGGACAACAAGTAATAGTGTAAGAGAAACTAGATGTGTCTTCTTTAAGGTGACTTATCACATTTTCCCCCTGATGTGGAAATACTGATTTCAGTCAGTTCTTCTTTTCCAGTTCCAGGCAACTGCAAAAACTCTTGAATATTTCTAACTTAGCTTCACCGATGGCAAAAGGCAGACAAAGATCCATATAAATTAAAATCACAGGTATTGTACTGCCATAGTGTTTCAAAGTTCCATACATGTAAACCTGTACAAGCTGGGATTTTACTGTTTATGTCATTTTGAAAAGACAACATAGATAATATGTTGTTCATTTGCATAATCTATAGATTGTATTGATATGCAAATAAATGACAAAATCATCATAATAAACCCTTTTGTAATGTCAAATTCCAAAAGCCATACTCCAGTAAAGGAAAGGAATGTATAAGAGATTATGGCTGGGGGAAGAAGATCTGCTGTTTATAGCAGTATCTTTTGGTTCGATATGTAGTTCTTGCTCTGATTCAGAGATCTGCAAGCATAGCACCTTGAAGCATTCATTACAGAAAATCAGTTCAAGTACAGTACTATTTTCTGTCTCAGCTGCCATCTGTTCAGGAAGAGATGGTTCCTATAGGCCTGCAAGAACTCTCAACTCTATGATTGGTATGAAAGGATTCAGCCAGACAAATCATATCCATAATGTAATGTCCTCCAGAAGTTCTTCATGTCATGTTTTAGCTCATCACACAGTTTCTAACCAACTGGGTACTTCCAAACAAAATATATTTTTACCACAGATTGTGAAATAATAATAATTTAAAAAACTAGTTCCACATTTAGAAGTCAGATTGTAAAGTGGGAAATACACTTGTGCTACATATTTTCTCATTGTTTAAAAATATAAGACACACCATTGTAATCAAACAATTTTAAAACTGAGCAGGCAGACAGTGGGTTACAAAATCGACATGAGACACAATATCCTTAATCTGATATTAATATAATATATAAAATTGTAAATATTTACTACCATATGATTTTTGGATAGCTATGTAGCTTTGCTTTTGAAACGTAAACCAGTTATTTACTTCCATGTGTGATCACAGAACTTTACAGGCACAATCCGCTTAATTTTTTCCTGTGCCTGCCCTACTGAAATGAGTGAGAAGTACATGAGTACTTCTGGATAGCTGTGAAGTGCCCATTTTAATGGGGCTGGCACCAATGAACGTTTTGGTGCATTTTGGCCTATTGAATCTACATTACCCAGAGATTACTAGGAAATACCACGTGCCTCCTGCGATATTTGCACATCTTTTTTCATAGTCCACTTGCCAGCCTATGGCACAAAACGCATGTGTTCTTTTCAAAATAGATAATTTGCAAAAGCTTTCTGCTAGTTCCCAGAGATGGTAGGATTGATGATTTTTGAAGTGAAGAAGAACTTTTCCAAGAAAGTTTCTTTCTGCGCTATCTCACTTTTTGTAATTCTTGTCTCAGCCACGACGGCAGTGGTTGTCCCAATTTGTGTAACAGCTTTGACAGTTCCACATTGTGATCTCTGTAGTAGCTTGACAGGAAAATTCTGCACTGATGGACATAAAAACTCACATTTAATTTGGTGGAATACTATTTTCTATTTACTTCATCTTGACCAGAACCATGTATTTTTTTATTTTGTAAAACAAAATAAAACACAATATATATTAGGAAATGAATAACTAAAATAAACAAAGCCTTAGCAAAGTACAAGAAGACACGACTGAGAATCATATGCAGAAATGGGTTCTACATATATTGCTCCTCTATCCTCTCTACCAACTGAGACTGCACTCATGGAACACGTTTAATTCTCATGCACTAAGATTTTATCCCCAAAACCTGCACTGAATGAGTTGCGTGGTGTTTTCTGGTCACAGTGTGAATTCCAGCGTATTCCAGGAACTAAAATGCACTGTGTCCAAATGAGTGTTCGTGTTTGTGCAGAATCAAGTGTGTTCCAAAAACCCAGAGCCAAAAACCATAAGGTGCAACAGAAGTAAAATCAAATCAGGTCACAGAAAAAAATGAAACATTGAATTATGTGGAAGTGTACAAGATGTTTTCTAAATGTATTAAAACAGTGAATATTCGTAGGATGTAATAGCATTGAAATTGTCTGCCAATTTATTTACATTTTATTATTTATAAATACATGAGGACACTTGTACTATCGTTTATAAATATAATGCTGGTAACTCAAAATCTCAAGATCTTTCTCTGTCCCCCTTGGTACAGCAGAAACAAATTTGAAGCAAATATTATAAGACAACTTGGATCCCTTAGGAGAAAGGTGGCATATCAATATTTTAAATTAATAAATTCTTTTGTAAAATTCTGTGTGTTTTCAGGGAACAAAAAGCTTGTCAAATCATCATGCTACATCCTTTCCATGGAATCCTCATGTTAAATAAAGTTACTACATAATAGAGGCTTCAAGCATAATCCACATGGATAAATAATTGTGAAACAAATGGCATGCTGGCAACATTAAAGTCTAGCATTTCTAAGGCATATTAATTTCAAGGGGAAAGTTAAGTTTGTGCTTAAATTATTTCCCTTGAAATGAATTAACTTTAAGCATTTATCTTATTGGCTCTCATCCACATTATATATGAAGAATAAGAATTTACCTCAGGATCCATTGGAGGGTATTTTCTGCCTTTGCTCTTTCCAAGGCATTTTGTTTTTCCTTCTTCTAGAAGTTGACACCAGAAGCCTTTGTGTGAGTCAAACCTGAAGCATACAGTATCTTTAGACACAATGAACATCATGCCATTTTGAAAACTGTTCATTTACTGATGTGCTGGTATTTCATTTAAAAATGGTGAAACAAGTCCTATAACATGGCTGCCTCATCTACGTGAATGCAGAACTAGTAAATACATTACCCACTAACTGAAGCATTCTGAATAGAGGGTTCAAGCTTAAGCAAGTGACTGTAAGTGTTTATGGCTGAAACATCTCCTTCAAGCTCTCTTTTACTCTCTGCAAAGAGAAAGCTGCTCCTTCTCCCCATGCACCCCTTATAATAGCAGCCTAGCCTTTACTTGGCAGAAGGACCATAGAAGTCATTGCCTGGCTGTTTGCCTGCTTTGTTCTCTTGTTATCAGCTGCTCATGCCTACAATCGAGAAGAGGAAGGGGATGAAAAAACAGCCAACACTGGGACAACAACAACCATCCACAGCAGTCAACTAATATCCTGTTATATCTGTTCTATTATTCTATAAGCAAGTATAACAGCAGTGAGTGGACAACACTGGCACTCTTTGGACCACAGAGGACTTGGAGCAACATGTGCTCATAGTTTCAGTTTGAGCCTCTTCATAGATTGATGCCTGCCATTACCAATGCATTAGAGTTGGAGGACAGTCATACATCATAATTTCTAAAATTCCTTATCATGAAGGGTAGAACACAGTAACATGCTGTCAATTCCTATGTTTTTGAAGTCCAGGAAACCTGTCATGCAATGACAGCTGTCAAATAGATTGCAATGAATCAGTAGGCACTGATAAGAGGTTTTCCTCCACCACTTACTGTATTTCCATCTCTCATACAGTGCCTGATACATATCCCCAACACACTAAAACACAGTATCTATATCAATTAATATACCATTAATTATGTATTTGACAGTCATGATAACTTCTTCTTTTGTTTCCTTTTTCTCAAACACATAGAATTTGACACTATATTCCCACTTCTTTATGAGAATGTAAAAATGGGACTACTTTATCCCCTGCAGTATATTTTGGGAGTTCTTTTGGCAAATTGTTCAACAAGGACAACTTATCTACCAATTTTCATACATAGATTCTAGTTGGCATACAGAATATGGGTTAATGAATGTATCTTAGACATTATAGACTAGGAGTCGTGGTAGACGGAGGAGACAATTCAAGATATAGTAGTATGCTCAGCTGGCATTTCATCGATGCAGGCTACAAACGATTCTCAGGGTCTTGAAAAGAGCTAAGAAGATAAAATCACACTGCCTATCAAACTGAAATAAAAGGGGAGCCATGTGGTCAGAGCAAAATAAAATTCAAATTTAAAAGGCGATACCTTTATAAATCACTTATCATACAATATGCGAGCTTTCATGAATTAAAACACCACTTCCATCAGGCTGCACCAGTGTGAAGACTCAAAGTCCAAAAGTACATGGCACAGTGGATTTTGCCAGGAACATCTTTCTTAGATGGAAGTGCAGGAAGCAGTGATTGCTGTTTTAGAGTTACAGTCCAAGATGTGGATTGGACGTTATGCCCCAGTTAGTCCAACAATGAAGCACATGTCATGTGCACAAACACACCTCCTCATTTGACCTTTCTTTGAAACAGATATGTTTCTGCTTGCTGGTGGGAGGATGACACAGAAAAAACCGAGTCTTCCAATTGAGGCCCCAGTTAGTCCAACAATGAAGCACATGACACAGAAAAACCAAGTCTTCCAATTGGAGTATTAATTTAGTAAACTCACTAGCTTTTGCCAACTGGGGTCAGATTAAAGTCAAAGTAATATTACCTAGTGGTTGTAGTCCTGCAATAATGCTTCTTTCCCTCTATCTTATGAGATCATGTTCACTGAATTTGGACACAGAATGATAAAATAGCTCTGGGATAAGGAAACTTTAGGAGGAAAATCCAGCATAAATAAGGAGTCACGAGAGCAGTGTCAAATGTTCTGGTTCTGAATCCTCATACTGCACCTGGTTTGGCCTACCAAAGTACATGTACAGTATGTGTAAGAATGCAATCTAAGGCACAATAAAGAATTTATGCTATTTGATTCTATTTTGTTTCATGGTAACTACATAAAATGCAGATTGATGGGTGGGGTTCTGTTGTAAAGGACGGTGTTTGTACCACCTAACATTAGTGTTTCTGGAACAGAAAGATTAAGCAAGAGGCACTGTCATTACCTAGGGGATATCAGCATGCATTCACATGCTTTGGGGAAGCTTTCTCCAGAAGCCTTCACCACCACCTCTGCTGGCCAGGATTTTTGGGAGTTGAAGTCCAAGAACATCTGGAGGCCCAAGGTTGGGGACCACTGACCTAGGGGATATCAGCATGCAGTCACATACTTTGGGGAAGCTTTCCATAGCACTCAATGAAAGCTATGGAATCATTACTAAATATCTGACATCTTCTCCTATTGATGAAATCACTCACCTAGCAGGTATTGCACTCAGTGACACATGGGGAAGTAGCAGTTAACAGTGATAAAGCATCTACATCAAATGAGCATCCTCTCTTGGGCTACCATCCTGGCCCTCCTACATTAATTTCCCCCCCTCTCTGAATGTCTGTGCATCTTAAAAGTACAGCAGAAAATGCTAGGACTGTAATGTTGAAAGAAATAATGATTCACCTCATAAAACAGATTAAAGTTGAGGAAAGTCTAGCACATGGTTACCTGGGGAACTGAATTACTTGGAAGCTACTAAACAGGATACAGAGTAGAGTTGGCAAAACCAATGTGAAACTCTGAAAATAAGGTTTTCGTATCCATACAGTCCTTTACAGAGAGGAATTTTATACTAAGTGGAATCTATCTCCCTCAACATGTAACTTGATGTTAGCTTGAACCAAATGCTCTTGATGTACAGTCCTTTACAGAGAGGAATTTTATACTAAGCGGAATCTATCTCCCTCAACATGTACTATGAAAGACTTGCTGTTAGCTTGTACCAAATGCTCTTGATGTTTCCCGAATATAAGCCGAGGCACCCAACTGTACCACAAAAAACTGGGAAAACGTATTGACTCGAGTATAAGCTGAGGGTGGAAAATGCAGCAGCTACTGGTAAATTTCAAAAATAAAAATAGATACCAATAAAATTACATTAATTGAGGCATCAGTAGGTTAAATGTTTTTGAAGTAAGTGAGGGCAGGGCGCGAAAACGCTGTGCGCGGCCATTTCGGGCGTCCGGTGGCCATTTTGGACCTGCCGAACAGCTGATTGAAAAAATCCATTGGAACCGTCGGTATGCCTTTGCATTAGCGATCCAAAAAAAGGATTGCTATGCGAATTCGTTGTTATACGGTGCGCTCGTAAAGCGAGGCACCACTGTATAAGCCGAGGCACCCAATTTTATCACAAAAAAACTGGGAAAACGTATTGACTCGAGTATAAGCTGAGGGTGGAAAATGCAGCAGCTACTGGTAAATTTCAAAAATAAAAATAGATACCAATAAAATTACATTAATTGAGGCATCAGTAGGTTAAATGTTTTTGAAGATACTACTCTTCTGAGCTGTGAGACACACTTTGCTGCTTACGGAGGAAGGACTCAGACCGGATGCTGCACTTATCTACTGCTCTACTGCTGCGTAACAAGATGGAGGGATACGGACGATGGAGGAGGAAGGTGGGAGGAGGAAGGTCGGTACATAGAATATGCAGAAGGAGGAGGATGGGAGTGTCCTGGAGGTGGAAATGCAGTGTACTTAACCTGGATCATCAGACCACCCACAGAGGCTGCAGGTGCCCATAGATGAGTGGGGGAGTCTGGAGAACACCCGCACTGCAGGGGAGAATATGCAGTTTTGATACTGACTTGAGTATGAGCCTGGGGGGCGGGGGGCGTTTTTTCAGCAAAAAAATTGTGCTGAAAAACTAGGCTTATACTTAAGTATATACAGTAATCCGATATATTTGCTAATTCTACTGTAGTGCTTCTAACATGAAAAAGAAATCTGGCAAAAGATCTATTGAAAAGTGAACCTCTTTTTCTCTTATTCTTCTGAGGATTAGGGACTTGGCCAATCTTTGGTCTCTAAGCAAACTGGTAAGATGATGATTATCATTCAGCAGGAATTTGCATATAAAACTACTGTTATATTTTGGTGGCTCTACAGACAAATGGAGGCTTCTCTTGAGGACTTCACTGATATGCTAATATGTGAACTCTCCCTCTGAGACATTAATATAATTTGTTAAAGTCCATTGCTTCTTCCCCACCTTGGGCAGAAGACTGACTCCCTTCTTGTGGTAAATTTGTGGCTAGGTTTTTTCTATGGTATTGGAGACAGTCCAGTGCAATTCTTTCACCGGCCATTAACGAACACAAAAAACATGAAGTTTGATATGAAAAATCCTTGTAGCACTTCTTGTTTGCCAGTTCTACCTTAATTTCTAGGAGGGATGATGCGTATGTGGATTTAATGCCCCCAGGAGTGGGGTAGAATCTCCAGTATACATTAGCTCTACATGGACTGGAGTTTCTCATTTCACCTTTGCAGTGGAGAAAAGAGTAGCTGAATTCTGTGTCTAAATAAAGTCGGAAGTGACACATATTCCCAGAACGAATCTGGTAAAGATAATTAAAATTAATCAAAACACTGGATTCAGGATATTGATTTGTGGGTTTAATCTGTGAGTAGCATGGAAGTAGCGGACATTATGCCACTTCTGAGAAGCAGCAGAGTGCTCCTAGCTATGGTACAGCCAGGCCGAGACTCCTTAATTCTCCTTTGCAGTGCTTTTAATTAATTAATTTATTTCATTTAACTATGGTACAGCCAGGCCGAGACTCCTTAAATCTCCTTTGCAGTACTTTTAATTAATTAATTAATTAATTTAATTTAATTTATATCCCGGGGAAGAGATGATCTGTCACTGTGGATGGGTGTCGTTAGCTGGTGTTTTGTGTGCAGTGATCACTGGTCCTTGTAGCTGGGTATAGTTCATTGACCTTTTGCAGGCTGTATTTTTCATTGCTGTTAGCCAGGCTTTGTCAAAAGTCTAAAACTCAACAAACCGCAACAGAGCACAGACAGAGCTCGGAAAACCCACAGCAACTCCTAATGTTTCGCCAGTCTCTGTGACCGGAGGGATTATGCTTATGTGGATTTATGTGGATTTTGACTCCTATCCTCTTCAGAGGATAGGAGTCAAAACTCTGTCTGTGCTCTGGTGCACTGTTCCGGCCAGCTGACCTGCGGGCACTTGGGGAGGATCGCGGGGGAGGACTGCCCCATGCTCTTTCCGAAGTGCCCGCTGGTCAGCTGGGGGAAAATGTGGCCCATGGGGAAAAATCGCAAAGCATTTTTCCCCCATAGGGAACATCACAATGTGATCACTTTTGCGATCGCAAAATCTGCATCGCTATGCGGATTCGTCGTTAAACGGGGTGCCCGTTAAGCGAAGCACCACTGTACTTTGAAATCAATGCAGAATTGGATGGTCAGCCAATGCAGAGCAGCCAGAGTAGGGGAGATATGTTGACATTTTTTCACCCCAGTAATAAGTCTGGCTGCCATGTTCTGTACCATTTGAAGCTTCCACATCAATCTCAAAGGTAGCCCCACGTAGAGCGCAACACAGTAGTCTAATCTAGAGACAAAAGTGCATGGACCGGAGTGGCGAGGGGCCCCACATCAAGATATGAACACTGCTGGGCAATCTGCTGAAGATGGAAATACTGTAGGCTGTATAGACCATTGATGCTACCTGGGTCTCCATGGTAAGCGCCAGGTCAATATGGACCCCCAGACTGCGAATTGAATTCTTTGTGGTGAGAATCACCCCCCCCCGAAGAGAGGGAGTTCCCCAAACCACTGACTTTGAGGCCACCCACCCTCAGGACCTCCGTCTTGTCTGGGTTCAGTCTCAGACCATTCACTTGCATCCATTTCAATATGGCCACCGGACAGCACTGAAGGGACAAAAGGGGATCCACTGTTGTTGGAGAAAAGGAGATGTAGAGCTGGGTGTCATCAGCGTACTGATGACACGAAGCTCCACACCCCCTGATGGCCTGACCCAGCCTCATATAGATATTAAACAGCAGTGGGGAGATAATCAAGCCCTGCAGAACCTCACAATTAAGATTCCATGGATCTGATAAACTGTCCCCAAGCTGTACTCTCTAGGGACTCTCTCCAATAAGGATCGGAGCCAGGCTAGCGCTCTGATACACTGTCCTCAAGCTGTACTCTCTAGGGACGGTCTCCAACAAGGATCGGAGCCAGGATAGTGCCGGACCACCGATTCCCAGCTCAGAGAGCCTCCCCAGGAGAATACCGCTTTATTCTTGATCTAATCTAATCTAATCTAATCTAATCTAATCTAATCTAATCTAATCTAACCTAATCCTTTTAGAACTGCAGATCTGAGAGGGACCCTATGAATCATTGCGTCCAGCTCCTGTCAAGGAGACGCAGTGAGGAATTGAATTCCCTGCCAGATATCTAAACCACTGAGCTATCCAATTTCCATATTTAGTAGGTAAGAAACAAGCCATTCTTCCAAGGAACAGGAATAGATGTATGGTTTAGTGCACACTAGTGACAGTAATATTGTGTTATTTTGACTTAATTTGGGGTACATTTAGCCATATAATTTTGTGAGCTACTGTACAAGCCAAGAGTTGAAAAATCTTTGGCTCTCCAAATGCTGCTGATGTACAACTTATTGGGGTTGATGGGCCTCCAGGTCAGGGTGTTTCAAGTTGATGGTAGCTATAGTCCACCAATGTCTGCAAGGCCACAAATCCCTCATCCTTAGTTTAAGCAAATATGGACATTTACCAACTTACGTAAGTGAACTACAGAAAAAAACCCACTAGTAAACAAAAAGATCATCCAAGCTAAATTAATTCTGAATGGAGGTATGCAAAGTAGCTGATAAAACAAATTATTTTAATTTTTTTAAAAAAACACAAAACCAAATCATTCTCACAACTGAAGGCAGACAGGAAAAAAAGCATGCATTGGAATTAGGTGCAGATGGGAATAATTCACAGCATCCAGGTCAAGGGCTATGGTATAAAAGCAACTGACAGCTCAATAGAATTACTCTAGGGGAGTATATTCAACGCATTGTGTCTTTACAATCCACTTGACTTTATCACACAGAAGATAAAGACAGTTTTGCTGCATAGACTTGAAAAAAAGCTAGAATAATTGAGTATGAGGCATTAAATAGGAAACTGGGAATGGACACATTCTTTTTGAGAGTTTCTTATGAAAACAGACAATGGTATCACATAAAAAGTAGCAGACTAAGGTTATCGATCTTACTCTAAGAGCAAGTGAAATAATATTTAAATCCAAATGGTTTGTATAGACAACTTCTTATTATATAAACAGCAGTTGCTGTATCCCTGACACTGGCATTATGTCTTTCAAGCAAAGAAAAAAAGAAAAGCAGCTTCTATCCTTCCTCCTCATGGATGATGAATCTTTTGCTGCTGAGCAAGGAGGTGAAAAGGAATTCCACTCTTTCTAACCATTCAAAAGGCAGAACCAATTTACTGAAGTCAGTCCTTGCTTTATTTGTCTAACATGTACACATTATGGTCTAGTTTAGTTTACTATATGCACCTGTAAATCAGGATTTATAGCAATGATTTTCTTCCCAGCCAGCAGTGTTATTCTGCCTCAACTGAACTATGACATAATATTCCAAAAAAGAGAAAATCCTGATGCCATCAGTTAATATGCAAGTGTAGATTTTTCTGTGCAAATTAAACTATATTATATTCTAAAAGACAAAAACAAAATATGATTCAACTTTCTTTTTAGAAACAATGAAGCGGCTTAGATGAATATAGTTCTATTCAAATGTTATGGATCAAGGTATTGTAAGCATGCACGTGCTAGCCTGCCTCTTCATATGTTCATGTCACTCTTCTCACACTATTTTCTTAAGACGAAAGCATGTATTTTGGGGAGGCTTGTTACATGATCTTGAATGCTGGAGAACTAACTAATGTGCTCTTCCTTTTTGTATGTTCATAGTATCCAGATCCCTAACATTTAATTAGAATAAATCTCAGCTTAATAAGCTGAGGCATGAGCAGGTCCTTGGCTCACACACAGAGTTCTTTGCCTCTCTCTCTTTGCATTAAGCCAGTGGTCCCCAACCTTGGGCCTCCAGATATTCTTGGACTACAACTCCCAGAAGCCTTCACTACTACCTCTGGTGGCCAGGATTTCTGGGAGTTGAAGTCCAAGAACATCTGGAGGCCCAAGGTTGGGGACCACTGCATTAAGCAAAATTAAAGGAGAGAACCTCTAATTAAAATATTTTCCTTTTTGTCTAAGTTAGGAAAGTGAGTTTATCACCTTAGATCAAACTGTGGTTTAAATGTGTTCTAAGATTCTGGCTTGTTCCAAAGCCAATGGACATTGTTTCCAGTTGACACAAAACGAGGAATTACAGCCAATTAGATACTTATTGTTTAACTGTAGGTTACACAAATGCAGAGGTGAAAAGGCTCCATGCACAGAAGAAACAGCTTTGTTCTGCTAATCGTCCAAATAGATTCATGCTCACAATTGTTTACTTTATACTACTTTACTGGACATACTGGTTGAAATTCTATTGGTTAGTGTAGCAAGTTGCCCTACGAGTAAGTAGCCCATTTAATCAATGGGGATTTGATGAATCAGCTCCTCCATGGGGTCCATTGATTCAAATGGTCCTACTGTAGTGTAACTTACTCCAGATGGATTTCAGCTACTGTGTTAAAAAATTCCTGAATTTACTTACGTTAGGGCTTCTGAGTAATTATAATGAGGAGTAACTCCCAAAAACTTCTGTACTTCATCCATCACGATAGCTGGGTCATTTCTTAGCTGCTGTCCATCAATAATTAGTAACTGCACAAAAAAAAATGAATGAAAAAGAGTGAACTGTGAATACTGCATTTAAAATTCTTTATATGTCAAACTTCAAACTCATTTTTTCACATATGTGAAGTTCAGTCTTTAAAAGGAAGAGGTGCCCCAGGGATCAGTAATAAGTCCATTCATATTTATCACCACCTTTAATGATCTAGGAGAAAGGTAAATGGCTCAGTAATTAAATCTGAAATGATATTAAATTGGAAGCTGCTTGGCACACCATTGGTGGCAGAGAAATAAAGCTGAAGGAGCTGAAGAAATTAGATATATCAGTAGGAAACCAAATCTGATTTGCATTGAAAAAATGCAATCAAATGGACTTTTGAAAAGAAAGAGAGAAATCTATAAAACACAGATGCACATATTTTCCTCTTTAAAAACATCTGTCATTTGGTGACAGTTTACATCTCAAACCAAACAGGAAACTCAGTACTTTAGGCATGAGCGATAATTTAATTGCTTGTTATCCTCCAGGACCACCATGGTTGAGCAAGAATCTCTAAGATGTAAAACAGCTGGCTTGCAGATTTGAGAACTGACAGCTGCAAGACCAAGATTTGTTTCCAGGTCTCCACTGGTTGACAGATGGTGAGTCACTATCCTAACTAGAAACTGCAGAACATGAGCAGTGAGGAAATGGCCAGTGACTTATTGTATCAAACCTCTTTCATAAGGTCCTGTTTATAGCTCCTAGGACAATAGTGGGACTTGTGAGGTGGAAAGTGTAAGATTTTTAAAATGGTCTGCAAAAGGTCATACTCTTCCTTTGCCTTTTGGTGATAAAAACTCTGCTATCTGTAGTATCCAGAAAGATCCAGCAAGTGTTCAGGGGATTGTTACAGATGAACAATTTATACTTCAAGGCAATTTCATGAAATGCAACATTCCAAACTGCAAAAGAGTAAAGGAATACCTGAAACAATGGAATTATCAAAAAGACAGAGAGTGAGTTTTAAAGATTTACAGATGTTTTACCTGATAAGGTGGAAAATAGGTCAGCCATCTTTCTATATGGGTGGCATACCACCCGGGTATCAGGCATTTCTTCTGCAAAGCCTTAAGCTCAGATGAAGCATGATGACCAGCAGTGATCACTTGATAGAAGGTAAACTTTAGTGCAGCCGGGTCTTTGTGTGATCGCTGATGCTGAAAATAATGTTGGAAGGTCACTGTATAATAGTCTGGCCAGCTCACTGTCTTAAATGAATCCTCCCTTGCACTCTTAATAGTTAACTGACAATAAGTACAGTGGACCCTCGACTTACAGACGACTCGACTTACAGAGTTTTCGAGTTACAGACTTCTCTGGCTGCAAAATTTAGATTCGACTTGCAGCCAGAGAATCGACCTACAGACCAGAAAAAACAAAAATGGAACAAAAACGGCCGGTTACGGATTAATCGGTTTTCAATGCATTGTAGGTCAATGGAGACTCGACTTACAGACTTTTCGACCTGCAGCCACCATTCCAATACGGATTAATTCTGTAAGTAGAGGGTCCACGTAGTTCATCTCATACAACGTGCTCTGTCTGAAGTTCTTTCTGCAAAGCTGTTATTCCTGTTCAGATCAGGGCTTTTTTGTCCTCGGTTCTAAATTTGTGGTAAATAACTAGTTAAATCTATCTTAAATTAAACAGTTATTGACTGAAATCCTGTTGCATAGTGTCGTGAATTGTAACTAGAGCAGGCTCATTGAATCAGTGTGGTTCTGGTGAACCAACTCCTATGCAAGTTCAACAGGTCTACTCTAGTTGTGACTTACTGTGCTAAGCAACATGATTTCAGCCTGACAAGGGGGGCATGGTGCTTGTTTAAATTAATTTGCTGACAAACAAGGTACAGAAAAACAGTATGATAAAATTGGAGAGAATTATATAAAACTAGATAAAGTTAAATGCTAATAAGCTTTACTTTATTGCTTTTACATCTAACCAATCTCATGAACTGCTTTGTTAAAATATTGCCTTATTTCAAGAATGAGTGACCCTCTAGCTAGCCCATATGCCTTCCCATCCAGCTGTCCAGCTTCTCTGGTGAGTGTTCAGAGATTATAGTGTATTTAAAATTTAGACTCTACATATCTTGCATGTAACTGTCATGTCTGTTTATTTTATCATGCTGTAAAATGGCCAGAAGAGTACATTGCACTAATGGGACAGTAAACAAAACAAACAAATAAATAAGTAAACAAACAAATAAATTTTAAGATAGCAGTTACTCCTGAACAGACATGTACACAACTCAGCAATGCTTTGGATGTCTGATGGCAAAATGCCCAAATTCTATGAATAATGTCTAGTCCCACTCACTTTTCTTAGGCCATGTCTACTCTGTCTTTGGCCCAACTGCTGTACCATGCCCTTAGCTCACCCTAGTGCTCAAACAGAATCTATTAGGGTCACTATAAGTTGGTTCCGACTTGACAGCACAGAACACACACACACAATCCTATCTAAACCTATGGATTAGTTAGTGACTTGCTGACAAAGGCTAACATCTAAACAACACTTTATAGTTCAGAATATAATTCACATGCATAGTGGGTTATGAGTAATATGACAACAAAAAACTGTCATCCACAGCCTTTCTTAATTCTTAAATTTCCTACCTGATACCAGGAATATGCTCGATCTGATGGATCAATGAGAATGGTGATGATTTTTGCCTTGGGAATCAAAGAAAATGCTCGTTTAGGGGCTTCTTCAGAATGGAAATAGTTGGCACTCTTTTCAAAGAGAAAGTCTGTGGTGACATTAGATGGTGTGGGAAAGAATTCCATATACCTACAGAAAGAATATGGGTTTTTTTAGAATAGTTTATAAGCCCTTACTACTACAGAAATATATAATTTTTTTTCAGCAAAACCAAATACATGCTTGGTTTCACATATACAGAATCAATCAGAGATATTAATGTTATGTGAAAATAATTCAACTTGTTGCACTTGCTGGCAAAATTGTATTTGCTAAATAGATGATAAGAAGCTTACAAATGGAGCCTTTGGAGCAGGAGATTTTGTTGATGCGTTCTGGTTTCATTTAGATTTAAGCTTGCCAGAAGCTGCAACCATCTTGACAGTTTTTTTTTTACCATAGAAATTATAAAGGTATTTGGCTGAAAACACAAGTCTGCTATGAATTCTGACAATCTCACTAGTTAGACTAGACAACATGTTTGTCTGTGAAAATACAATGGCTATTTCCATTTGGTTTCAGTACTCATAGATAGGCTGACTCATAGACAGTGCTATATGTCATCCCTATAATTATCCCTGATGAATAGGAAGAGTCTATGGTACACAGTTTGTCTTGGAAAGGAACATTTGGAAACACTCGTCTACAACAATCTCCTTATCTCGTCTAGAGTAGATGCCTTGAATTGATTACTGAATGATAAAGTCAGTACTTATGTAAATGTAAATCCCATTAATCTAAGGGGTCTACTCTGGTTAGTACTAGCAAGGACATTTAATGAAAGGATATTTAATAATAATGGTCAATTCTGATTATTTATTAGAAATATGTAGTATATACTGTAAAAGTATATGCTGTAATTTGAATGGGGTGCAAAGGCGTTGCTCTAAAATTGAAAAGTCCTTTTAAAATGTGCCTTAGAGAGATGCCTTAAAAATGAAAGTATTATTGAAAAACTACAGCTGGGAATAAAACCAAAACATGGCCGTTCTGATTTCAGCACACAAAGAACTAATAAGATAAGATGGCAGGAGGAATGTTCAAAACTTAAGTTTGATTTTTATATATTTTAAGCTAACAATTTTTGCATGCCTGTATGACTTTTTAATTTAAGTATATGTGCCTACAATTTTTCTTCACTGTAATAATTTCTTTGATAGGTTTTTGGATTTGCTACTTTTAAGCATGGGACCTAGAAATGATGTAAATAAATAATACTTGTATAGAATTAACAAGTTCTGGAGTGGCCTGGAATTATTACAACAATGAAGACATTTATATTGAGATACCAAGAGGAGTTTTATAAACAGCTCGTGACTGATTATTTTATTTTGTTCTGGTGTTAACCCTTCACTGGGATAATGTCAGCTATGACAAATCACAGAATCTGTTCTTTTTGCCTGGGAGGTCTGTAAATCTTATAGGACTCCTAGTGGGGGTCAGTTGTCCAAATCTGACATAATAATTCAAGAGTTGGTCTTTATGATCAGAATTCAAAATTAGAATTATATAATGATCAATGCTGCTCTTTCCTGCTATAACGGGTCTCTCTTGGAATTACCCAGACAACAAGTTTTTCCTATATCTAAACATCTTTCAAAGGAGGCAGGGAAACCCTTCAAGAACAGAACTTGCATAAAATAACAGCATCCTAGGAGGGCTGCTATCACTATACTGGGTGCTCTGGAAAGCCCTGACAAGTGCAGCAGCACAAGAGCAGCTGATAAGGCTTTCTGGAGTAGTTGCTGATCTGCTATGCATCCTGGAGCAAGACCTGGTATCCATATATTTTCCTCACTGTTAATGCTATTATTAAGTATAGGACATGGTCCAAATGAAGTTCACTTGCACCAAATAGGAGAAGGGTTTTTCTTTTTTTGGTAGATAATCTTGTCATTTTAATTTAGATGAATTCAAATTTATACACTAGAGCTTTATAAGATTCTGGACCCATGGGCTAAAAACCCATTTAAGAAAAACCGCAAGCAGAAAAGTGGTTGTGCAGCGATTTCTCTGCATTCTAGACTGTCCTTTTGTGCAATTATTGATGCAACTGGTTCCATGCCTGATTTTGCTACCAATATGTGACCACTTGCAGAAGCGAGAGTCTGCTGGAGGAGGGGTACATCCTTACACAATCACACAAGTGAAGAGAATTATTTCCCTTGCTTTTAAAAAAATCTTGCCCTGATGCACTGTTATAAAACGAAATATCTAAAACTCTGCTAAGGTTGTTATTCACCAGCTATGTTTTAAGTTAGGAGCAAAAGGGACCGTTTCAAAGTGGAATTAAAATGAAGTGGGATGGCCCAACTCAACGCATCTGAAAAGAAGTAGAAGAGTTACAGGCCCAAACAAAAAGAAGTGAGGTACACTGCAACTTCAAGAACTATTTTCGTTGGAAACTGAACCATATGTAGAAATTTTCACTGTGATTTGCAAATGTTCAGAAAGTTTTACTTGGAAGTTTCTACTCACTATTTTAGCAAACAAATATGTATTCTTTGTGCATATTAAGTCTTGCTTGTGGGGAATGACTTTGTGGCCTGCAGAAGCAAAAATCCAGCTTATAGAAACTCTTGGGTCTACTTCTTTCACAGGGGCTGCCCCAGACCCATGCTCAGTTGGGGCGCAACAGATTCCTGGCTTTGATAATCATCCCCCCTTCCCTGTACAGAGGAGAGGGAAGAAATGGAAAGCTGGACATGCCGCAGCTAAGGATGCAAAAGTTTTCTGATTCTATTTTTGGGCATTTTTCCAAATCCCAACTGTATTTTATTCCCAATGTCTATTTAATAATGTACTGTGTGACTGTGTTCTCTTTCCGTCCTGGTGTTGTATATAATTTTATACATTTTTTATATTGTGAACCATTATTTGCCCATTTTACTTAAATTACACTATGTTTCCCCACTGACTAAAAGGTGCTTTTTGCATAGTTTCTCAAATCAGGAACATTTTTAGCTATTCACATTTTAAAATCATTTATAATCATTTGCAGTGTGCCTTGGAAGATGCAAAAACACTATTTCTGTCAAGACTGGTGAATTAGGTTGAATTCTTTCCCCTGCCTGCTCTTCAACTGAAGACTGAGCCCTACACTCAGAACTCAGCTGACATTTGGCATATGCCAGCAGACAGTACCTTGCTTCTCTTCCCTCTTCCCTGTGTGGAGAAGGAGGAGGAGAGAAAGTCTAGTGAGCACTTTAGCCAGGGACCAGAGAATGTTAGGAGGTGTGGCCATGACTCTTACATCTTGCCTATGTTAACGATCTGCCACCTCAACTCCAAAGATTTCCCCGCTGGTTTTGATAGGCACAAAACTTTGAGCTGCTTACAAAATATCTTATTTTCATTTAAGATATGATTGAATAAATTACGATGAAATTCCCACCCAATAGTTTCTAATTATAGAAAGAGATAAGAGTAAAACTCTCATACAGTTTTGTATCTGAGTAAACATTCATTTAACCTCATATACATGCTCATGTTAGATATGGTAATGCCATTTTTGTATTGTGCACAGCATAGATTTTGTTTTTAGATTTATACTAGTAACCCATCTTACCAATCAATCCCCCTGTGGTAGTTATTTCTATTAAAGAACTGTACCTCCTCAAAGGTTTTGGGGCTGGGGGAGTTACTAATGATGGAAGGATGCATAATCAGGAACAAATACAAAGCTGTTGTGCCTGCAAAAAGAATGAAAATTAAAGAACTGAGACAAAGACTAAATTTACACTGTTAACAACCTGTAAGGTAAAATAGCTGGCTTTTTCTTATAAAGAGAGCATCATCCCTATTTATGCTAACAAAAAAAATTAAAAACACATCAAAATGTATACAAAGTCTTCTTCAGTGAATAAAAGAAAATGGTTGTAATTTTTCTTGAATCAATAGCAAAAAGAAATTTATTTATTCAATGGCTGACCTGCAGGAGCTATAATGAGAAGATATCAAATTTCAATCCCTTGTATGCCATTCTTTAAAGGAATAGTAAATGTTCTTGCCAAAAATGATAGTGTATAAAAATCCATGCAGACAGACATTCAGGTAAGCAGGGGAAGAACACAAGCAGTGTCTGGCACAGTTTATTGGTATGTTAGACAGTTATAATGAGGTTACAATATCTACAAACCAAACAGTATAGGCATGTGCTATATTGATGCAGTGTAGCTAAGCTCTAGTTCTTGTAGCTGCCAACTTTTTACCTATGAAACCAACTCATGTGTACAACAACCTCTCACCTGTTTTCTGGGGTCCAATCACCAGGAATTTGGGCAAACGATCACATGTTTTTTCTTTAGACCAGATATCTCTGTGCCGCTTGTCATCACAAGGGTTCTAGGTTAAAAAAACACCAACCAAACATAATTCTTTTGTTCCCTTTTAGTCTATACTGATTATGCTATCTTGCTCATGTATGCATGTTAAAAAGAGAAAAATTAAAACTTTCATTGAAAGATATGTCTCAATTGATAAATGATAAATGTAACACAAGTATCAGTACTGATGTTACCTTGTCATAAATTAATTACAGTGGTGCCCTGCTTGACGATTACCTTGTTAGACGAGGAAATCGCTTAACGATGAGTATTTTGCGATCACTATAGCAATCGCAAAACAATGTTTGTATGGTTTTTTTTTATTTAACAACAATCGGTTCCCTGCTTCGGGAACTGATTTTTCGCTTAACAACGATCAAAAGAGCTACTTGTTGGGTTTTCAAAATGACCGCCCGCTGTGCAAAATGGCTCCCTGCTGTGTTTTAGGACGGATTCCTCACTATACAGGCACTGGAAAATGGCCGCCCTATGCAGGATCTTTGCTGGACGCTGAGGTATTTCACCCATTGGAACGCATTGAACCAGTTTTCAATGCATTTTAATGGGTTTTTTTATTTTCGCTTGACGATTATTTCGTTCTACAGCGATTTTGCTGGAACAGATTATCCTCATCAAGCGAGGCACCATTGTACATGTTCATCTGTCTAATGGGGAAAGAGCATGTGCTTGGCCTCTACACCAAGAAGCTATTAGAATAACCTGAACCCTGTGCATGTTTACTACAAGAAAGCCCCACTGAGTTGCCTGGGGCTAGGACTGTAGCCTTATTTAAACTCAAGCCTTTTAAAGAAGAGGGGGGAAAAAGACAGATATTCAAATACTTCAATTGACCTAAAGTGTATCAATTTGGAATTCACAGAACTCATTTAGTTTCTTTCAATAAATTTATTATAATGATACCAAAAACAGATTAGGCAGTCAAAGCCTCTTATAGTCCAAAATAAACCAATAGAAGATAACAGCTAGAATCCTATTGTGAAATACCATGTGTGTAAGGGAAATTGTGCAAATGGTTTTCACATTTTTCTAGCCACCCATCAGTTATCTGTGCATGTGAATGAATGTGCAACTGAGTGCACAACAGATAGCCGGATAACACACACCTGTTATGCTGCTTGGGATTTATGTTGCACAAACCCAATAGAATTCTGGCTCTCCTTTCTTTCATATCACTAGTAACACCCAAAATTCTCTGAATAATGCACAGTTGTGTGGGCTAAATCTAACCTAACTCTTCCATTCATGGAAGGGCTTTTGATCTAATAGGTGCTTATGCAAAGAAAAAAAGTGCCATGGTAGTTCCCCCTTCTTTCTTCAAATCTGTTCCAGAGGGTTGGGGTTGGGGGTGAGCAAGGCTTTGCAACAACACAGGGATGCTGATATAGGAATCTACATGGAAACTGGCCAGAATTGGCTCCCTGCATCTAGCATAAGTGTCCATTAGATCAATTTCTTCCCTTCTATTATAGTAAAGGCATTACAGAATACACTCCTCTGTATTTACATGTGCCTAAACATGCATAACATCTTCCTATTGCTCCATTATTAAGAAACAAAGCAAAACAGAGTTAAGGGACTGGTATGGTAGAAATGTTATCTAAAGCATTCACTCAGTGAGCAAAATTTTTTTTGGTTAGATATAAATTCATATTACCCATTAACAGTAGAAAACAAACTGACTTTTGACCAAGAACATAGGATTTGATTTTATGCAACATAGTCTGACAATACAGAAGGCTAAGGAAATTGTCCACTGGCATGTTATCCAAGAGAACCTCTTTTTGTGCATCAAATTAGATAAAGAATAAAACGATCAACTTTATAGTTTTCAAGGGCAATACTTTTGCACTTTGGCAGCAGTGCCTCTTTAAAGAGTGCTCCTCTTCTCATTTTACCTGCCAAAGAGGGTCTTTCTGCTCAGGGAAGAGCTCAAAGTACTTGTGAGCCAACTGAAGCGGAGGTAGTGTCTGCAGCTTCAGGTTCGTCCAGCTTTGAACAAAATTGGCCAGATTGACAAAGGTGTACAAACCCAACCGGTCATTCCCATAGTTAGACAAGTGGGTCATAAATATACTGATCTGAAAAACAAAATATATATGTTTTTGCTTTTGAAATAAAGATTAACTGTGTGGTCCAAATAAAATAAAATACAAATGCAAAAATAGGCAATCCATTTATAGGCCACTGAAAAATCATCACACAATCCACAAAAGCTCATTTTTTGCTTTTGTATCACTAGATGGCAGTGAAGGGACAATATTATTCCATATTTCATTTAAAAACATATGCAGAAAGGTGGATATATTTATAATTATTTTTGAAATAACAATATTACATATTTGACCATGCCTGTTGCCCTTTATGTAGAATGGGTGTACAGAAAAGGAAAAAAGGGAGAGCCACAAATATAATTTTTATTAAGTCCATTTTGTAAAGCAATGAGTGAAACAGTCAGTGTTGCATTTTACATGCTTAGGAGAACCCCACAATGGGTAGATCAGTTAACAGATATAAGTGGTGTTGCAAGAAACAGGGCTTAAGTTTCAAAACTAATACAAAAGTTTGTCATAGGGTTGGGATTATGTCATATTTTGGGAGAGAGAGTTAGTTAGGCATGCTATTTTGATCTGACAGTTACACAGTTTTGATGATGCTACAAAACTTGGGCTTAAATTACACAACTCTGCACAACTAATAAAAAGCTTCCGGATCATACCAAAATTTGGGGTTTCATAATGATCACTGCTGGAGATTGGAGAACTAGATAACCAAGAGATGGAATGACACACCTACTCTATGTCAAAAAGAACAAGTACAACTCAGACAAACTTTCTAGCTTTGGCACTGATTAAGGAGGGGCGGGTGGGTCAAATACAAGATTGAATGAAACAACACTTCAGCTGGGTATAAGAAAGCTTCTGTTTCCATGGATCATATAACCTTTCTTCTCCCCATGTGCTGTCTAAGGGTTGAGGGGGAAGCCTGTGACTTATTGTCAAAGACAGTTCAGTAGCCAAGATAGACAAATAGATGCTTCTAGATTAGATTTTTTAAAAACTATAATTTTAAAGCAGCCTCTATTTACAGCATGACTGCTTGCTTCAATAGTAGGAACACTTTACATATAGAAAATATTTAGTGAATAAAGAAGGGGAAGTGCATAACAAAAGCCTCATATGGGAGAGCTCTACCGCCTCAAATCTGCTCGAGACCTTCTGTATCCCCATCTGGTCAGGGGACCATGCATAAATATGGCAGTTATATAACCTCATTCTTAAATCTGAAGAAGTGGTATTTCCATGAAGTTCTTCAGGAACCTAAAAACTTGAGAAGGAGAGCTCAACAATGGAGAAAATCTCAATCAAAAAGACTTAAGTACACAAATGTAACCCTATCAATGGAATAATTATAGCAGTGGCAACTGCTAATGACTTGAATCTGAGCAAGCAAACCCACTTAGCTTCTTAAGAATCACAGCCCCAATGAAGAGTTTCTTAGAAAAATAAATGTGTACATGCACGTGTGCGTGTGTGCACGCGCGCACGCACATGCACCAACTTCTGACTGTTACTAATTTTGCCTGTGGCACATCTGTGTATGAGGCAATCTGTGAATCAGCATTTTCATTTATAACTTGGATTAACCAGACACAGAGACTTCCAATGACTCACATTTCATGCAGGTGTGACACTGAAATATGTAACTCTTTTTACACAGGAAGCTGAACTACAAACTAATTCTATAACATATTTCCAATTAATCATTCTGAGACAAGATATTTGCATAAGAGAAAAGATCTTAATTTTTTTTACTAAATTCCTCCTTGAATCATATCCCCATCCCAAAACCAGGGTCTGGAGTGGGGGGAAAACATGTTTTAGGGTGTAATACACTTTGAACTGTGGTATCTTGCATGTGTATGTACATTGTTACGTACTTTTACACCATAAAGCTCTGCAACTCTGTCTTTAGAAGAATTTACAACAAGCATAATTTCACAGAGAATTTGTTTAATGAACGTCATCTTGTGAGACTGCCTGGCTTGTGATTAACCCTGTGGCTTCAGTTTTTTGTTTTGCCTCAAAGAATAAAGAGATACAAGAAGATATAATTCATAGGACACAATCCTCCCTTTTTAAAGCTAGAATTGTAAAAATGTATTTTCAAAATGCAGCTGTTCCCTTCAGGCAAGGAAAAATGCTGTGGCTTTTTTGTCACATGCATAACCTTTTCAGATTTCCTTTATTATTTTTTAGTCCTGAAACCAGAAAGGAGACTAGAAGCTGGACTGTTGGTTTCAACAAATATATAATTGAAAAGTTTCCTCAAAAAATGTAAGGAGTTCCCCCCTCCCTTCCAGCAGCTTCTTTTTCCTCCTACACCTGCACTGACCTCTGACATTTATAATGTCAGTTCACCTCCTGGCAATTCATAACCTGCCAACAACTTTAGGACTGCATTGAAAAGAAAAAAGAAGATAACTTGGAAAGGTTAGTAGTTCAGGGAAAATATGTATTATTCTTCCCCTGAAGGGAATCTCACTATAATCCTAAAAATATTATGAAGTGGAGGTTTGGGGTTTTGTTTAGTATTTTTTTAAGTGAACTGAATAGATCATAATACATAATCTTCAATGTTAAGATGCCCTGTCAGGGAGAGAAAATACAAATATTAAATTCAGTTTTACTACCGTTCTGTCTCTTTATAGTACACATATTTCAACTCATATGTAACAAAATATACATAATCAAATGTTTCATTTCAAACCTTGTATTAAAGTGATTTCTCTTTATTGAGAAGTCCAAAATGCTTACTGCTGTCTCTACTAGAGAAACACAAGGGGGAATTAATCTATGGCCAGAATCCTATTAAATAAACACGCAGGCATGAACTCTACTGGCTTAACTTTCCACTTAGTGAAGAGTCACCAGCTGAGAAGTCAGCACTTTTTCCTCCCGATCATACACCAAGGTTCTGGCTAGATAGTGAAGTTATCTCAGTTTAGATTGGGCAAAACAGGGCTGTTTGAAATTGCAGTCTGAGATTTAGAATGATCTTCCCAAATGGATGAACAGACCAGGTGCTTTTTGGACAAGAAACCACACTGTATCTCAAAATGACTTTATTAGACTGCTCCTCCTTCTCAGCTTCCATGCCCCCACATCCTCTCCTGTCTTCCTCACCATGAAGAAGTGGGGGAAAGGTAGAATTTTAAAAATATATTTATTGGTAAGTGACGTATTCCGTCATTGACTTGCTAACAAAGTGAAACAATGCTACACAGTAAAAAGAGAGAAGAAGAAGAAGAAGAAGAAGAAGAAGAAGAAGAAGAAGAAGAAGAAGAAGAAGAAGAAGAAGAAGAAGAAGAAGAAGAAGAAGGGTGGGGCAGAAAAGAGATTCCCCCTCACCTCCTATTTTGGATACCCCTCCATGCGGAGTGGTAGAAAGCTGATTTTTCTCTCTCCATTTATTGGAAAGTGACTTGCCACTCTTTTGGTTTGGCACTCAAATGACACAGTACTGAAGTGCTGAGGGAAACACCTACAAATGCTGTTTGAATTGATCACACATAAGGAAACCAAAGGAAACATTGCAGGGCTACTTCTGCTCAAAACACACACACACACACACACACAAAATGGCAGGGACCTAAAAAGATTTGGACAGACATGGAGAAAGCTTGAGGTGGTTTGTGATTGCGGGCATGACTGCATCATGTGCTTTCCAGAAAAAGGAATGAACCATCCCATTTGCAAAGCGTTTTAAAATGCAAGATAAAGTGTCAGCTAATTGCATGCCAAGTCACACAGTTCTTGTGTGACTAGAAGAATCAGTGCTGACTTTTAAACTAGCAGCAGTTTGCAGCTAAAAGTTACACTAACAGAATTACACCACTATGGCATATCTAAACAGGATAATGATCTATGAAGCATTGGTAATATTATGAGGTCAAAGGCCTGCAAGATACCAAAGACTTTAACCTAGTGCTACAGAAATAAGAATTCTACCAAATGTCACATCACTTCATTGCAGCAACATACAATGGGAAAAGATTATTTAACAAATCAACCAAAACTGTCTCCATTCCACGACGAGACCTCAGACTGGATTCAAACAGAATGAAATGATCTGTCTCATCCAGGAACTGAGTAGTAGTTTCCTAACAAATGCATGCTGTTGAAGAAATTATTCTTGAAGCAATATCTTTCCAGCAAGGCCTTTCTTTTTCTTTTTCATAAAAAGCAAGAAAACACAGAACGTGCTAACCTTCTCATCCCAGTAACTGTGTACGCTTCAATTTTACAACTTCACTGTCTGTTTTACTTGGGGGCCTTGGACAAACAGCTACTTTTTACTTTATATTTGTGTAATGGAGCTGGTATCTGTGATGAATACCAACTTATTTTCTAGCTATGCTTCTGTATTTTTAATAAATATAAAGTATGGAATGTGGCTCATGACAAAACTGAGTGAAAAGCTGTGTGAAATGCTTCTTGCCTACTCTCTTTTCTCACTCTCTTTGCTGCTTGGATAGAGCTGCTGTTCCTGCTGGTGGGAGCAGAACAATTTCCTGAAGAGTCTCAACTGACAGAAGGAAGATTGTCTATGGGGGAACCAAATGTATAATTTGCTCACTCTTTCTAACCCCATCTTTCCTGCTCAATTCAATCACAGATTCCTGACTAACTGCATAATATTTTTGTCTGAATATCTAGTTATGTCTTTAAACTCATTTGGTTGGACTCAAGCCTAGTCATGCCTAGAGCGGGCCCACTTTTATTTTTTGCATCATTTTGAGACTTCTGACAACACTTCAGACAGTGGTTTACATTAACAAAACAAAACAAATTAAAATTGTATCAAATAGCAAAAACTGAAACTTTAGGCATAAAATCAAAATGACCTTTAATTCTACATGACAAACCAGTATAAAAACCAAACAGAGCAAGAATGCTTTCACTACAAAAAATGTGCTCAGGAAAGGAACTGATAGAACACAGTAAAGAAGACCTCTGAAGATTAGCTCAGTTTACGATTGATGGCCTAAGATATGGCTATCTCCCACTCAGATACCCAT